AGTAATTCTATTTCTTTATCTGCCGCATATTTCGGTGCAATTTAGAGTTATTCTAGCAGGAAATAATGAGGTGAAAGATTCTTTTAACATAATTTGAATTTCAGGATTATTCCGATTCAAATATTAAATGTGAAATTTAATGTGAATCAGACTGTGATATATCATTATTATTACGAGTGATTTTTCTGCTCCAGGTTCACCAAAATGAAGCTGACGTGGTTGCTGGTTCTTTGTCTAGTTGTGACAGCTGTAGTTGCCAAGGTAACATATTTTCTTGTTAAAAAATATCTTTGCCTTAATGTCTTCTTAAATTCTGCGTTTAACTCGTGGGACCAATCCCTACCTCCAGAGTACCACCCCAGGACCCGCTATACCACCCAAATATACTTCAACCCATTCAAAATACATGTCAATACAAAATCAAACAATTCTAACAAAAAATATATTAGTGATACTATGAACTATGGTGGTACTCTGGGGGTAGGGCTTGGTTCCCCACGCCGATAACCTGTGGTTTGACTGAGCCAAATCATAAATTTTGTCATAAAAATCCGTATAACAGTGCTAGTGCAGACATTCGAATGGTATTGTCCAACAACATTGACCTAGCACTCTTGCATTTGACCTTGTAGTCGGTACGTTACGATCTACACATGTACTTGTAAATGATTTTAATCGATATGAATGTAAATATACAGTTGTTTAAAATGTTCGAATTAAAATTTCCTCTTAGCGCTCTTAGCGCAGTTGGTAAAGAGTATTCACTTGAAGAATGTAAACGTAGACTGGTAGGTTCGAATCCTATTTCAGCGATTTTTAGTTAGCAAATATATCGATATATTCGATAGGTAATGGTCAATGTTCATATGACCTTTCCGAAAATTAATGAAGTGCCAGGTCAATATTGTTGGACAATATATTGTTACACTCAAAATACGACTTTCTCATCAAAAACTAAACAAATTGTGTTTCTTTTCAATCAAAGATTCTTAGCCATTGTCTCTTTCTTGATTAGTTTTGATTAATGTTGATGTTTCGGGAGCTGGTATAATGGAAACAGCAGACGTAAATTAAGAACATTTCCATTAAATGAAGCGTACAGATTTCACAGCAGATATGTTATTGTAAAAACAAGGTGTGAAACATCAACATGTTGAATGAACGAGATTTGTTTACAGGATAGATCAAAACGAAAGAATCGTGAGCGAAACAAGAAAGTTGAAAGGGGTCGCCCAGAGAACCCCAGGGAGGTTGGTTGTTGGGTGTGGTCAAAATATGTGTAGAATTTGCTGATGTGATGTTAGGGTGCTGCATTTTTGTAAGACAGGAAATGATCGCGCCTTTGTCTTGTTTAAATGTTAGAAGCGTCGCAAAAGCGTCTTTTTCAGTATTTGTGTTGTTAGGAATTTTTGTGTTGTAAGGACATTAAAAAGTGTTTTGTTAATCCGTATCAATTGCATTGGTACAGCTTTGTTTATGAACCTTCGACTTCTTTATTAAATCTCCTTTAAAAATAAATATCATATAACTTTGCGGCAAAATATTTCATAATTGATTTTTATTTGTAATTTTATAGATCTATATAATTGCACGATATAGTTTCTCTTCTTTTTTTTAAACTTAATTTCTTGAAAATGCTATATTTAGCTGATGGCAATTCGTGATAAATTCAGTGTTGTATTTGCAATGCTGTTTGTAATTTAGTGGCATTTCGTTTTGTGTAGGCAGATTGCATGCTAGCGTAGTGTGTGCGCTCACTGCGTTGCTCTTTTCCTCGCAGACCTCGTATAGAAATGTTAGTTGTAGTCGAAATGTCTGTGTGCTTTCAGCGGTAATAAGTTGCCTACGTTACAAGTATAGTGTCAAACCAACCTTCATTGAGATCTTGCCAGAATCTAGTTATATTTGGATTCTTAGCACTTTAATATTGAAATCCTAGAAATTTATACAAGATAATTCCAAGTTAAATTAATAATAATTACAGTACAAATAAATTACATAAATTGAAGCATTTACAAATAGCCGAATGTAGTGCTGTGTTATATATATTAAATGTCTATAGTATACAGGAACAAAGGGTGTGACAAAATAAATTTGTACCTTGTTAACATTAAAGCAAAAATGTTTTTATTGCCATGGTAACGTAAATTAATTTTGTGGATTTAACATATTTATTATTGAACTTCCTTTTTCGATTTTATATTCTTTGTTGTAACCTGGCTTTTTAAAAAAATTTTTTTAAAGCAAACGTCTTAATTATCAAGTACACCATTAAAGTGGTTATGTTTATGTAAGTGACTCGCGTGTTTTTTTTCCTACTCGTATACAGTATGTGTAGCTATTGATAATCATATATATAATTCATAATATCACTTTCTATGGATTTCCAAAATAAAAACAAAAGGATAATATGATATATTTCCTAATGTTTCCCTTCGGGGGAATATTCGAATAATTTTAATTTACATTTGTATACAAATGTACTTGCATGAAAGAAAAGGTACTGGAAGTACTTGGGTGCAAGGTTGTTTGGTTATCCGTTTTAAAATAAAGATTTTTAATATTATTTAATTGAATGAGTTATATAAATACATTTGTATAGTATTGAGGCAACAAGAATTATAAAATATTATATTTATTACATATCAAAACGGCCTGCATTTCAAAACTAAGAAAAATTTACAGTCAAAATGGGTCATTTACTTTTTTCATTTACGCGCTAATGTTGTAATACTAAAATTCAGCCCGTGACGTCATGTCATAATATTATATTATCCACACCCGTGCAATGCCGTTTTAACGGAGTGGTTAAAGCGGCACGGGTACGTAGTAAAAAGCGATTAAGATTGTATAAGTACGCATTTAAACAGTATAAGTACGTCAACGTCAATGTCAATGTATCTAAAATGTCTGCTTTGGAAAACTTTCTATATGTTGCTTGTAAATCTTTGGAATGTAAGGTTTAAGAAGGAATTTAACCTGAATGCAAGTTTGTATTAATTGTGAGGTCGTCATTTAAGGCCAAATCGTATCATTTAAATGTACACATTTTCTTAAAAACTAAATTATCTTAATCATACATATGATTCTAAAAGCATGCATAAACATGTACATATGATTTTGATTTCTTTAAATATTTTCAGCCTACCTGATGTTAGTCAAAGTAAAAAGTAAACCTTTATTTATCTTCATAGTTTAGCTCGATTTCAATGTATTAATATTTAAATCATCCAAATTAATACAATTAGTCACATAGATTTAACACAAGATGATTGGAAATTTAAATTTCAAGGACAAGGTTTTTTTTTTCTTGTAGATTGAAGCAGACGACGATGATGACGAATATGAGACTATTGACGTCATTCAGGAAGGCGGAGAAAAAGAATCATTTCAAAGTAAATAAGTAAATATTCATTGTGAAATATAACAACATTGTTCAAATCGTTATACCTAAAAACAAGATAAATCTATCAATGACATCATGTTATCCGTGTTTTTATGTTTGTATTTTTTTCAAATTTAAGTTTATTATGATTATTTTCGAAGAAATTGGCGAATGTTGCTGTATAAATGCCGGTCGCATGGTAGACAACCCCGTTTCTGCTAAATAACTAGAAATAACCATTATTTGACCCATATACGGTAGCCTATAAACTTACATCGTATATGATCGCCCTCATTGAGTAGAAGACATGTTTTGTTGTAGGTGCCAGTCTTATATTGCACTGGACCAGCAGAAATGATGATTATTGCTAAATTATGACAAACCGACGACTGAACACTTCACATACCATTACATAACCATTTCTCTGTGAATTATATAATTGATATTCTTGTTCTCACTGCACATTCAAGGTTTATTTTGGGATAGGTGTTCATAGTGTCAATTCGGCATTTCCTGTTAATGTAAATATCAATGTTTCACTAGATTCATTTTGTTTGACAGATCCCTGCAACAACCACAGATGTAAGCGTGGTGCGACATGTGAACTCGAAGGCAAGGAACCAAAATGTGTTTGCCAAACTTGTGATGACAAGCTCGAGGAAGAACTTAAACTGCCGGTAACGTTAGCCTTTTCCGATATTAAAGGCCCATTTTGCCCCCAGAAATGCCTTTTTTATTTCCAAAAAGCTTTTAATTATTGGTGTACTGTTACAGTTTCCAAAAAGCTACTCATTGGCCTGATTTTTCTTTTGCTTTCTGTTGCTTTTTGGAAAGTAGTAAATGGTGATTTAGTACCTTGTTTGGAAGACAAAATATGATAAATAATTTCACACTTAACACATGAGATGATAAGCATGGTTCTGTTCAAATTTCATTCGCTACATTACAATCAAAACTATGAAATCGGCAAGAATGTTTCAAGTTTTCTTTATGTGTTTGACACCAAACTGATCATACTTGGATATAGGCATTAAACACTGCTTTATTTTCCAATAAAATCATCTTAATTTGGTTAATCATGACTTTTATGAAAACTTATATTAACCATAATGCTACAGTTCGATATATATACTAACAACTAATCAAGCATTATAATTATTTTTATTATAGGTGTGCAGTACAAGAAATGCGACATACATGTCAGAATGTCACTTGGACAGAGAACATTGTCTGTGTATGAATGGCTTACCAGGCTGCTCGGATCAAGTGGATAAAGTCAGATTAGATTACTTCAGCGCCTGCAAAGGTATGTTTAAAACCTGATTAATACACTTGTTACTATATATAGTAACAAAATTGCCTATGATTTCAACTGATTATGAGTGTCACGTGACCTATTATGAGTTTGCGGCCCGGGGCCGAGAACTAGTTATCAGCCCGCAGAACATGTGCACGTGCACAAACTGAAACAATGACGTCATATTTTACGTCATCAAACAGTTAACTGTGAAAGTGAAAGTAGGTTGTCAGCACGAATCGCTTTATTTTTATTGTGAGAGCTTAAGCGTATTTAGTACAAACACATATTTGTTACTATTGAAATTTGAAGAAATAATACGACAAATTCATTCCGAAAAAAAAAATGAAAATAAAACTTGCTTCTAGATTCTACTGCTTTGAACACACAAACAGTAAACATCTCTGTACAGAACAGTAGAAGAGTACAATAGACAAGAATTTCAACGAAAGAACTTCAGAGTAGATCCTATTTTGTTGTTGTTGTTGTTTTTTTTTTGTTTTTTTGTTGTTTTTTTTTTAAATGCTACCAGATCTATTAGATTAAGTGTATTAAAGACATTAATACACGTCAGAGTAGGGCCAGAAGGTGATAATCGGCCCTGAATGAATAATGGCCCTCGGGCTAAAGCCCTCGGGTCCATTATTCATTTTGCGGGCCGATTATCACCTTCCGGCCCTCTCCTGCCGTGTATTAATCTCTTAATAAGCTACTCTAGGTCGTTATGCGTCATATGATAAAACTATTAGGGGGATACATTTAAAAGCATAGCAATTTTTGTTGTTGAACTTGCACCCTCACAAATATGTACATTGAATGCTTTAATGTACATGCTATTGAAAAAAGTCTCAGTTCGGAATGCTGTCCTTTTAGAAAACAAAATACTATGCTCATCTTTGAGTAAAATATTTTTATCTTAGGAATGTATTGAAATCCATGAAATACTTACTGAATATGTTTAATTTTAATAAAATAATGAACAAACTATGTATGGGAAGCTGCATTCCCTATAGTGGGGCGGGAAATTGAGAAAATAGTGCAAATTGAATTTGTGATACAAGCATGAAACTTTCAGGAAATCATCTTTAGACCATGTAGATTTCAAAAGTGAAGTGGGCCCAAAAATATCTCTGCTCATTCAAGATGGCCGCCATTTTCAAAATGGCTGCCATATAAATTTGACGTACATTCTAGCTCATTCATTCCAATTTTTTGTACAGACCTTTAACTAACACCTAAAGCATGCATATAGTTTCTCCTTTTCAAAAATTTAAATCTCACAAAAGTTCTCTTTCATACTTCTTAAAAATCCAAGATGGCGTCCAATATGGCCGTCGATTTTGTGCAAAACTGTTATATCATTTTTATAGTATAATTTGTTGCACAAATTATGTTTATTATGATAAAAAAGGGTTTAAACATATCAGAGATAATCAAATTATTTGTTGATCTCAATAAAAGTAAACATTTTAAAAGTTTTTGTCTAAAAATATCTTTAAAAAAGATCAAGAAAAAATTCCAATTTTTTCATATTTTTCAAATTAGATTTTCTAAAGTAATGTACAAAGTTAAAAAAAAGTTACTTTATATCTTAAACTGTATTTGACATTCCATCATATCATGTGTTTATTGTAAAGAATGTAAAAAAAGCATTAAATCTGTAGGTTTTATATTTTGTGAAAGTGGGTGGGGTAATTTTATATGATAATTGTAAAAGAAAAAACAACAGAAAATCTACATAGCTAAGTTCATTCTATTTCTTTGCCTTATTACTTTTCTATGAATTTTTAAGCAAATGTTCCAACTTAAAAAGTACTTTTTATTGGATGAAAGTAATTTTTTCTTCCTTCGGGCCATTTGGTGGGTGAGCAAGAAATGCACATACAAACATGTGTATACATTCAGTTATTAAATTTGGTTGCATGATAATTCTTGTTTCAATATATTTGATATCATATATTAATTGTTAATTGTAAAGACATATAAGAAGACAATAAATCAACTAAACGTGCTTAAAATAGCAAACATGTACATGAATGTAAGGTATAAAGGTAGTCCATAAACGCATATTTTTGACTCCTCCACAATTTTATATTTATAATATAAACATGGCTTAAAAGCCAACAAAATGTATGTAATGTGAAACATATATATCAATGATATGGCCTGGCCTGCATGCAACTTTTTGAAAAGTTAAGATACAAACTAAGTGTATTTCCTAAAGTAATCATATCTTATTTTTTTCTTTCAATAAGAGGGTAATGATGACCCTGGATCACTCACCTAAGATCATTGTTGGAAAAAAGGTAACAAGATCATTTTGGGAGTGTCAATTATGTCATAACACGCATGATTTGTGTCATAATTGAATCCGGTTGCTTTTAAAGAAACATGCTCAATATCTGCTTTCATTTTTTATTCACACGAGAGGACTTTAATAACCATATTTATATACGAGTCCATATAAACTTAGTGACCTTTAGTGTTTGGTTAATTTGGACCATGTTGTCCATGATATATCATTATTATAACATAATTATGATGATACATGATTAATGTATATGCATCGGATACTGTAGGTTAAGAGACAACAGACTTATTACAGTAGTCTTTGTAAATTAAGTGATACCATTGCAAAACTATTTTAGACTGCAGTAGCATCATACAAATTTATGCATGTTATATCAGTCTACATCCCAAATATCTTAGTTCAAGTCATTATATTTTAACACTAGATGTTTTTAATGTGTTTTCCTATACAAGTCTGTGAACCCAGGTGGCTCTATGAGCATGATTCATTAAATGTGTTAATAAAGACCTGGTGCTACATGCCAGCTTAGTACCTGTGTTCTATGCATTTTGATTTTTGAGAAGATTTTTTATATTGCATGTACACTTAATGATCCAAAAGTGTTTTATGTAACTTTTAAAGAGGTCTTCTTTACTTGGCAAGGTTATATTTTGACTATCTAAGCTCTAGGCATTACAGTTTGTTTGTTTGTTGATTTTTTTTAATAACAACAACAACAAAACAACTTCAATGCGATTCCCTACAGAAGTCTTTAAAAACTGTGTTCCTCGTGAAGGCCTTTAAATCACGCTACTGCAGCCCAAAATTGCTTTCCCTGTCACTTAGTTTACATTGACTTATATATTAAAATTCTTCTCCGAAACTATGTGCCCAATGAAGAGAAAATTGCGTATATCATAACATTGTGATGCTATATATAAAGATTATGAACTATTGGCATAGGGTCAAAATCACTTAGTTTACATGGACTCTTATTGGAATATAGTTATATTAGTCTTCTTGTAGTTCTGAGAGCCTAGTTATTGGACATGATTCTTTTCAAATAGTTTATAAATCATGACTGGTGAAAAAAAGATACTCCTTATATGATTTTAGCATTCTTCAGTATAAAAGAATTATAGACCTTTTCCAGCATTGGGTCTTAGGCGCGTGATCTAGCGTCAACAATTCTCTCTTGTTTAATGGGAAAAATAAAGTATGAATACATTTTGTTTATATTCCAAAGTATAAACTATGTTAGTTATGTGGGTCAAGCGGTTTTATTGATACCTATTTTAGCACACCTAGTCATTAGATAATATGATGTATCAGTCGCCTAAATTTTTGTTTCTTTTGAAAATATCATGTCTACATAAGTTATTAGAAATGGACGGTACTAATTCAATTATACTTGGTTACAATGATGTGCAAGTAAATATAACTTTGAATCATTCTGTTAAGACTAACTTGTGCAGGAAATAATTGTATTCATAAATAGACAACATTTCACTCAGGTCCAGGCATGATTTTATCTAACATATGGTTCGTTGATGAATATTCAGTCTTCTTTCTGTACAATTATCAAATTATATTAAGAATATTGAAACAACTTATATCATGCAAACATTTAATAACTGAATGTATACATATGATTGTATCTGCATTTATCGATATTTTAGTACACCCTCTAGACCTGAAGGAAAACAAAAATACCTCGATACAATAAAATACTTTTACAGTGAATATTTGCATAAGAATTATTAAAAAACGTTATTTTGTACTACACTTGTCTGATAAATTTACCCCAACCACTTTTAATAAGTATAAAACCTTCACATTTTTGTTAGTTTTTGTTACAATTATACAATAAAACATAGTGTTCATTGAATATCAAATACACTTTAATAAACTATGTAACTCTTGGAATTTTGTACATAGACCTAGAAAACCATGTTAGAGAAAAATGCAAAAAATGGCACTTTTTCTTTGATTTTTTTAAAGATTTCTTTTTTGTACAAAAAACTAAAAACATGACTAACAATGTAGTTAACCTAAAATTTGATTTTTTTCTAATATATTTCACAATTTTATATGGAAATACGCATACCTTGTGCAAAAAATTATACTACAAAAGAGATATATCAGTTTTCATTAAAATTGGCAGCCATATTGGACGCCATCTTGGATTCTGAAGAAATATGCAAGAGAAATTGCCTGAAGATTTAAATTTTTGAAAAGGGGAAACTATATGCAAGCTTTGGTGTAAGTTTCAGGTCTGTACAAAAAATTGGAATGAATGAGCTATTATGTACATCAAATTTATATGGCGGCCATCTTGAAAATGGCGGCCATCTTGAATGAGCAGAGATATTTTTGGGCCCACTTCACTTTCGAAATCTACATGGTCTAAAGATAATTTCCTGAAAGTTTCATGCTTGTATCACAATTTGCACTATTTTGACAGCAGAGACCTTATTTCCCGCCCCACTACTATTACGGTTGGTCTTTTCTGAAAAAAAAAACTGCCAGTTTTTTAATGACACTATATATTTATATTGTGACCACATATCTAATTTAAATGAAGTCGAAACATGTTTTTTTTTATACATACAAAGAGACTGTGTAGCAATTATTAATATTTTTAAAAATCAAATTTGAGCATAGTATATCTTTTAGAAAATCTAAATCATTGTTAATTGCAAAAATAATTTAGAGTTATTATTTAGTATGTACAATTTATACCAGCTGCATAGTCTATCATGGACCATCTTCCCTGGCTTTGAATCATATATGGTGCTGAAATTGTTTAAACATCATGTCACTAAGTTTGAGCAGCGAATTATTTAAAGCCTGTTTATACAGCAAATATTGGCACGCTAACTTCCTTTTTATGGGAAGTAATGGTAGGAACGGCCTATGGTGACTGCATGGCCGTGTGGTTAACGCGTTGGTCCAGTAATATAAGGATCGGTAGCCGTCTGGGTTGAAACCCCGACAGGGGCAAGTTGTTGTTTCCTTGAGCAAGAAAACTATACTCATTGCTCAGTACGGGTTGGTTCCAGGAACGGATTCGATGTGTGTCTATAATACACAATTGAAATAAAAAGGAATTCTGTATAAACCAAAGGCAAACTATGAAAGAGTTAAACAGTGTTTAACTGATTATTGCAGAGCTTACTACTTGTCCTAAAGATGAGTTGGAAAGGTTTCCAGAGAGGATGAGGGGCTGGCTGTTTAGAGTTATGACTGACATGGTAAGAATAATAGTGACAATTTTACACTAAAGGTCTGATTTATATTTTTTTAATTAACATTTTATTCCCATATATTTTCAATGATTCTCTATTTCACTTCATTAAACATATGATGGTTCTGTGACATACAATCACAACTTACTTATAAATGTATTACTTATAGAGGTGGTATAGAAGTATCTTTACTAGTATGTAAATTAAAATCATTTTTTTGTTATTCTGAATGATAACGTAAATGAATCTTTATAACACGTTTAGCCATTCATTTTACATGTATATTATTTAACAAGATAGCTCTATGTTTGGCTCTCAGGTAAATCAGAAATAGGAAATGCAATAGCCGCACACATATTTACGAAAGACCGGTGGGGACTTTTCAACTTCAGTTGAAATCGTGAATTCGTGAAGTTGAAATCGTGAATTCATGAAGTTGAAATCGTGAATTCGTGAAGTTGAAATCGTGAATTCATGAAGTTGAAATCGTGATATTTATGAAGCTGAAATCGTGATGTCATAAATTCTGTATGTTGAAAACGTGAAGTTAAAATTGTGAATTCATGAAGATAAAAACGGGAATTCGTTAAGTTTCGAAGATAAAAACGGGAATACGTGAAGTTGAAATGTCCCCATCGGTCTTTCGTGCATCTTTATACTTATACATGTACAAGTTACACAGATTTAGTAAGAAGTGCTAAGAAGCAAACAGTACTTTTATTTGTAGGCAATGCGTGGGTATCCTGAATTGGACGATTACCGTGACTTCCTTGAGAAGGCCCGCCATGACGAAAATCATGCTGGAGCAGTTATCTGGAAGTTCTGCGATCTTGATGTGCATCCCAATGACAGGTATTATCATGCTTTTGTCAAAGCTATAACGTAATTCGGCGTGAAAGGTTACAGACTTTCTATTCATACTGTCAAACCGAGACATCGCCCGTCCAAAATTATCTCGATGTCTAATTCAAAATCTGGCCGGAAACATTAATCACAACAAAATTTCATGAAAATTGCAGACTTGGTTTGATTGAGTCTGAAGTTGGACTATGTTAGGGGTTGCTTTGGATAGCTTTGTGCCAGCGTTAATTTCGGAACTTGTAATTCCAGATAGTTTGGTTTTTGTTGTGCAAATTCTAAGCGAAGATATTTCAAGTTACTGTTTGATCTATGCAAACCCTTGATATTATTATTGTTATCGAAAACATCTTAGATTTTTGGTTCCTATATTTTAGGCAAGTGACCCGCCGTGAGCTCATGTACATCACAGCTTCTATAAAGCACATGGAACATTGTCTGGTTCCCTTCCTTAAAGAATGTGATGCCAATGATGACAACAGCATCACACTACAGGAGTGGGCTAACTGTCTCCGCATACCACAGGGTAAATATAAATACTAATGATTAATTACCACATTCGTAACAATTAATCAATATCTATTTTGCACACAGTTTATCAACATTCGAGGTTTGAAGGGGTTGAACTCTTTATCAAGGAGCTTGCGTATTAAACCATTTTTTCTTAACGCTAAGTCAATCAAAAATAATAATTGACTTAGCGTCAAGAAAAGGAAAATTTATTCAATAAAAGAGGTGTTTTACCCATTGAAATGTCAGAGATTGACGCAATATTAATAAAAAATACGTATATACATTTTTGGTGCAGTTTTTTGGGGTTTCAAGCCTGTTTTTAACAGAGGAAGACACCATTATCTCAGAGATGTAATTAAATGTGACACCATATCATAATGTTTCCGGTCGTTAATTATTTAATACATGTGCTTTACCTCCGAGAATAAAAAAGCTTTTGGAAAATGAGTTCCAGAAGTTATATATTCAACAGATTTAAATTCAATTTATTCCTTGGTAGGGAAAATTTCTGGATAATCCAAGAGTTATAAATGAGGGAGTCAAAACAGCACATTTTGATTAAATACAGTAATTCTGGTTAAATCACTGGGTTAAATGCATTAGAAACATGTTACAGCCATCACCTCAGTGAGAAATGTTTCCTGATATATGTTATTCTCATTATGCAATGATTAATTTTCAATGCAATATAATTAATTGCTACTTAAAAGTGCTGAAATAAATTTTTCATGGTTTTAAATATGTGAATCCTTATTAATATATATATTATATTAATATATATTATAGAATTATTTTGACATCTTTAGAATTAGACTGTTTTCTTCTTTATTTTGGGAGATAGCATCTATTAAATATCGTTTTTATACGCCCGTTTGAAAAACGGGACGTATTATGGGAACGCCCCTGGCGGGCGGGCGGGCGGTCGGCGCGGGCGGGGCGGCGTCCAATTTTGTCCGGAGCATATCTCCTACATGTATGGAGGGATTTTAATGAAACTTCATAGAAATGTTCACCACTATGAGGAGCAGTGTCGCGCACATGAACCAGGTCTCTAGATCAAAGGTCAAGGTCACACTTAGAGCTCATTGAAAAATGCTTGTCCGGAGCAAAACTTCCACATGTATAGAGGGATTTCAATATTACTTGGCACAAATGTTCACCATTGTGAGGCGGAGTGTCGCGTGCAAGATTCAGGTCCTTGCGGCCAAGGTCAAGGTCACACATAGAGGTCAAAGTTCAGATAAAAATATGAAGATGTGTATATGGACCATTTAGTCATCATTTATTGAGGGATTGTAACACAAATGGTCATTATCAAGACTATGGCTGTGATACTTATAATTTAGGTCAATATATATAAGGTCAAGGTCACTAAAGATGATGAAATATCCAGATTTTGTAAATAGAATTTAATCAAAGGGCGACAACAAAGTTATTACTTTGTTCATAAATGACTTACACAATTACTCCCCTTGATCTACTTTCACTTTCAATTCTAAAAATAGAATTTAATCAAAGGGCATAAAATAATCCTCTTTCTTGGACTTGAGTATGTTCTAAAGAATGTAACATTCATTGGTCAAGATTCTTAACTGTGATAACTATGGTGTTCTGTAGACTTGGTATTTGTTCATAAAGATCATACAGTAATTACCTTATCAAATGTAAATACTTTCTCATAGAAATTTAATTATATTTTAATTTTCAAGTAAATATCAGTTCAGCTCTCCTACATGTATGGAGGGATTTTCATGAAACTTCATAGAAATGTTCACCACTATGAGGAGCAGTGTCGCGCACATGAACCAGGTCTCTAGGTCAAAGGTCAAGGTCACACTTGGAGCTCATTGAAAAATGCTTGTCCGGAGCAAAACTTCCACATGTATAGAGGGATTTCAATATTACTTGGCACAAATGTTCACCATTGTGAGGCGGAGTGTCGCGCGCAAGATTCAGGTCCTTGCGGCCAAGGTCAAGGTCACACATAGAGGTCAAAGTTCAGATAAAAATATGAAGATGTGTATATGGACCATTTAGTCATCATTTATTGAGGGATTGTAACACAAATGGTCATTATCAAGACTATGGCTGTGATACATATAATTTAGGTCAATATATACAAGGTCAAGGTCACTAAAGATGATGAAATATCCAGATTTTGTCCGGAGCATATCTCCTACATGCATGGAGGGATTTTAATGAAATTTCATAGAAATGTTCACCATTATGAGAAGCCATGTCACGCACATGAACTAGGTCTCTAGGTCAAAGGTCAAGGTCACACTTAGAGCTCATTGAAAAACGCTTGTCCGGAGCAAAACTTCCACATGCATAGAGGGATTTCAATATAACTTGGCACAAATGTTCACCATTGTGAGGCGGAGTGTCGCGCACAAAATTCAGGTCCTTGCAGCCAAGGTCAAGGTCACACATAGAGGTCAAAGTTTAGATAAAAATATGAAGATGTGTATAGGGACGATTTAATCATCATTTATTGAGGGATTGTAACACAAATGGTCATTATCATGACTACGGCTGTGACACATGTACTTTAGGTCAATATATGCAAGGTCAAGGTCACTAAAGATGGTGAAATATCCAGATTTTGTCTGGAGCATATCTCCTACATGTATGGAAGAATTTTTATAATACTTTATTGAAATGTTCACCACCATGATATGTATTGCTCCATGCATGATCCAGGTCTCCAGGTCAAAGGTCAAGATCACACTTAGAGCTCATTGAAAAACGCTTGTCCGGAGCAAAACTTCTACATTCATAGGGGGATTTCAATATAACTTGGCACAAATGTTCACCATTGTGAGGCTGAGTGTCGCACGCAAAATTCAGATCCCTGCGACCAAAGTCAATGTTACACATAGAGGTCAAAGTTCAGATAGAAATTTGAAGATGTGTATAGGGACCATTTAGTCATCATTTATTGATGGATTGTAGCACAAATGGTAACTATCATGACTACAGGTGTGACACATTTAATTTAGGTTAATATTTGCAAGGTCAAGGTCACTGGAGATGATTAAATATCCAGATGTTGTCCGGAGCATATTTTCTACATGCATGGAGGAATTTTAATGTTACTTTATAGAATTGTTCACCACCATGAGACGTAGTGCCCTGCACATGAACCAAGTCTCTAGGTCAAAGGTGAAGGTCACAGTTAGAGCTCATAGAAAAACGCTTGTCTGGAGCAAAACTTCTACATGCATAGAGGGATTCAATATAATTTGGCACAAATGTTCATCATTGTGAGGCTGAGTGCCGTGCATAAAATTCAGGTCCCTGCGACCAAGGTCAAGGTCACACATCCTGTGCATATCTTCCCTACTGATTTGTTTTAAGGTTCATTTAACAACACAGTGCCAAGAATAAAAACTTGCTTGCTAGATAACACTTATCCATAATGCCCCCATCTCCATCTAAAGCTTTCGTAAACGGGCGTATTTTGTGACTATGGCACCCTTGTTATTCTTCTTCTTCAGCTTACATGTAACTGACAATTTCAATTTCGTTTGGTTTTCAGTTTTATGGAGTTATATTGTTTAAAAGTATCTATTGTTAGTATTATTTCATTCAACTCATCAAATTTTCTTCTATTTCCAGAGGCTTTAGTCGATCAGTGTAAGCATTCACAGTAAATTGTGAGTGTATTAAATGACCAGAATGTGAACAAGAACAGAAAAATAGATATCACATGACCATCACGTGATAATCATGTGAACAGCCATAGACAAATTTGATTGGTCAAACATCAATGTGTCATCAAGTTAATTACAAGAAATGCCTGGAACGAGATTTTTACATCATTTTTTATATATCTCCTTTAGTGAAGAGTTTTAGTCACGGATTTATATTACGTCATTAACATCACTGCTTTTAGTTTATCCAGAAAACTTTTTTTAAATAGATGTGCAAGAGTTTGGAAACTTGCATGTAGAACGTTTGATATATCTTACATCTGGTCTGAACTGTTGTATGAACACTCATGTGCCAAATTTTGTGCTAGTCATATATGTACTATTATCTTCTATAACATTGCTTTAGTTCATTAGATCTCATCATTTTACACTGAGGAAATAAAACCAGTCATGTTTCGGGTCCTTTTAAATAAAATACCTAATTAAATTGTGGTAATAACAAATTATTTCTACTATTTAAACAATTGAAAGTTTGGAATTGCTTTGCACTTAAAACCAGTCTTTTAGGGGAAAACACATAAAAAAATAAATAAGATAAAGGTAAATATCAATCAATTTATGTGATAGAAAGACTGTGAATATTAGCTGAAAATATCCTTACAATTGTATTTCATTGTATTCTCTTGTTTTAAATGCTGGTTGTATAAAATATATGATATGGACGTTTTTCTTGTATAACATTTTGAGTTTTGTTGAGCATGCATTTAATTAACTGTATGATAGGCCAACGTCATTGACATGTAAAGTTTGAATCAATATCTAATATTTTATAATACTATTATTTGACACTTTCATTTTCTGAAATTTCCAGTAAGAAATAAATGTAACAAGAATAAGTTGAACATAAAAAATTTTACTTTTTACAGGAAAATTTTCAACATTTATAAGATTATTTACTAATCAAATACGAGACAAGTATTTCAATGTAATCAAACAAGATTACAGTTAAACACATTTTTTTCGTACATTTTCATTCTTTTTCTTGATATTTTTCATACTTCGCACATACATTGTACACTTAAATAGAAAGAACAATTTCAGTAGCTTTATAATTACAGTTTTGGTCTTGTTTGTCTACATGTAGCATATGGCTTAATTAATGTCAATCAGTTTGTGTATTATAGGCAAGGGTAACTGTCAGAATTCTGTAGCTAAATAAAAATGTTACAACAACAACATTCTTTTTTGTTTTGATTTAACTAACTCTTAATCTACAGAACTATTGATATCATCACTGGGTGGAATAATTTCTAACAATTCTTGAGTAATGATGTGAATTTGTTAACAAGAAAATTTGTTCCTCACAGTATTGTACTGATATGAAACATATGAACTTTCCAAAGTAAATCTCAGTACATAATTACACATTCAAGCAGATACAAGCATTTATCTAAATATACATTTAAAACACCCAGTTGGATAACTTTCTCACAAGTTTCCAACTCAAAAGCAGTCATTTGAAAGAATTCAATTTCAAGTCCCAAAAATGTGCTAACCCTGCTTATGAATTTTATATGCAATGCACGTGATCAACAATGTGAAAAGCAATGCTTAGCTTCACATGAAGTGTTAATTTCTTACCTAGCCTACAAGTTATGTTTTAGTATTAAGGCTATGAGTAAAATTAATGAAAGATATATATTTATAATGAATTTAAATGGTAACGTTTAAAAACAACAACAACAACAAACCTAAACCTCAAACTGGTCTACAATTAAAATGTTCGAGTATATTCGAAAGAACAAAAGAAAAACAAACATTTGGATCACTACATTTATAAAGTTTATTAAAAAATTAATACAAAATGATCCCTGTAATAGAAATTAAGCACTTATTATTTTGAACAGAACACAGTTAATAATGCACAGCAGATATTATGTAACACAGTTACTATGGCAACAAAACATAATTTAACAATTCTCATAAAACAAATGCTATATTTGAGCAAAAGAAATGGAAATCAAATACATTTTCAATTTTATATATTCTAACAGACAAAATAATGTCTGCTTGCATGAAATATTACAATGTTATTTGGTTTTTAAATTCCAACAGGCCACTTATTAATAAAGTATTATTTATTGATTGTTCAAAGTTGGTTGGGAGAAAATAACAGAAAGTTAACTAAATGACCAGAAACAGTTCACCAAGAACAAAACAGCCATAATGTTCCTATCAACACACACCTGTAATTGTTTCTATCTTTTATCTAATGCTAAATAGTGTTCCTGCATCATTATATGACAAAATTTTATATCTATGTCACTGACTTGGGTTTTTCAAGCTAAGACAACCCATAACTATTTGAATTTCAATTAGTTACATGTATGATCAAAACATACACAGCAGACTTTCATAAAGCTTTGTCAAAATTGTGAACATTTCAGTCTTTAAAAAAGTTTCCTGGCATTTCACAAGGTGACTCAGATTTGAATCCAAAACGACCTATATTGAAACTTATCTAAGAAGTCAAGACATTTTAAGCAAGTTTCATTAAAATCTGGCAAAAACGTGGTCATAAGAGTGTTACATGTAGCTAGGTTTTCCTTTGATTTGACAAGAAGACATAGTTGGGTTTTTTTTCTCAACCAAAATAACCATTGTTCAAACTTGTCCAACATATATCAATGAAAAAAACTTTTTGACAAATTTTGATAAAGATCGATTAATAATATGACTTAAATGTCAACAAGGTTTTTTTTGTGGAAATTTTGATAAAGATCAATCAAGGTTTTTCTGAGGTTTGATTGGTTTACCTCATTTTAGACCTAGAAAACCCATATTCAATCTTAACCTGGAAATTTCAAAGCCAGGCATTCTAAGCATGTCTCATTCAAGACTTCATGAAAAATGTGGTCTGTAGAATATTAACAAGGTTTTCAACTGGTCTGACATGGTGACCTAGTTTTTTTTTTTGCTCCAGATTATGCAAGTTCAGGTGTATCCAAGCTTTGAATGAGTCAAACATTCTGGCAAAGCTTCATAATAATCTAATTAAAACCGTAACCTCTAGAGAGTAAACAACCTCAAAATGCTGGGGATGGATGGCAGACTATTGACTGTTTTTATAGTCTGCCCTTTAGTATACTATGTATACTTTTTAGTAGGGGAGTTAACAACCTGTGCTGGTGTTGTACATTAAGCCTGAAAACCAGTATATATCTAACTTATACCTCTTTATTTAATAATGCACATATTATTTCATGTATGTATTTCAAGTTGTCCTTATATGTCTCATATGACTTGTGCAGATACAAAACTGCCATTTGTTACAGCAAACTAATTTTCTTTTTTAGTATAAACATTCTTAACATTGTCTACAAAAATCTCATAAAAAAAATATCAAACAAACATTGTTTTTCAAGGAAAAATTTCACCAGTCTGGGCCCATTAAAATAATTTCAATGAAACACAAATCTTATAAAACGTGTCATGTCCGTTCTATAATTAACAGGAAAGAATACAAACAATAACATGTAAAACAATGACAAAGTGAATGTATGTGATATAACCCACTCCATTTAAATACAATAAACTAACATAATTTTATACAACTAATAATCTTAATGCTGTGACATGTGTTTTTTTTAAAAAGGTTGATTTCATACATTTTACATAAACCAAAAATTGCACTTAATAAACATACTGCCATTTTAGAATATCTTTCCGGAAATGTTCCTAATACGTTTGTGTTTGGTCCAATTCCAACAACATTTGCATAGTGATAAAATATTCTTTCACAGTGTTTCATGTGGCTCTTGCTCCATACAAGTACATGTTTAATCACTCAGTTCATACAAGTACATGTAAAACTATCACTCGATTCATACAAGTACATGTATAATCACTAAGCTCATACAAGTACAATCACACAGTTCATACAAGTACTCAGTCCATACAAGTACATGTATAATTGCTCAGTTCATACAAGTTCATGTAGAATCACTCAGTTCATACAAGTACCTCCATAATAACTTAGTACAAACAAGTACATGTATAATCACTAATTTCATACAAGTACATGTATAATCACTAATTTCATACAAGTACATGTATAAAAACTCAATTCGTACAAGTACATGTAAAACAATCACACAGTTCATACAAGTACATGTATAAAAACTCAATTCATACAAGTACATGTAGAACAATCACTTAGTTCATGTATAATCACTCAGTTTTAGGTCTAGGAGCAGATTTAGACCGGAACTTGCCCACAACTTGTGTAAGAGCTACGAGCACCAGTGAGCCAACAATTACGTAGGATATTCTGTATAACATTACCATACCAAACACTAACATCTGTGTTACCATTATATGAATAAACTGTGACATAAAATTCAGAGATGACCTGAAAATAGAAATTGATTACAAGTAATAATTGCACATTGGAAGACATAAAGCCTTGGCACATACCTACCGGAAAAAAATCACTGACTACAATTGATACAACTATATCTATTTTTCTTGATTAGAATTCAAAGAAACTACCACTATGGTTGCTTTGACAGGATGGGAATGGAACTATTTTGATCCGAGACTTTTTTACCATTTGATGTAGATCTATACCAATACCTAGTGTGTTAACTTTCAGATCATTTGCTCCGTCAGTTTTTCCATTGTAATCATTTTTTTTAATGCAAAATGACTTTAAAATGGAAAGCCTTCTAACATTTTTAGCTCAAATCAGACTAAGAATTGCACTAAATATTAAGTTTCTATTTGATTTTCAGTATATTTCTTTAATATCTTTTTCATGTTTTTCTGTATTTAGTGTCCCAGTTAATCTTTGTAAGTTTTCGAATTGTTTTCAAGGTTTTGGACTTATTCAGAGCTCCATTAAAGGAATGCAATGTTTCTCTTCCAAATCTTACTACAGAGTACTGATGGTACACATTTTAAATTTAGGTATTTAAAAAGAAGCATGTACCCTGATTTTGTAAAGTTAAGCTAGATGTTGTAATATAAGATTGAAAAAAGTGTTACAGAAAATAATTGTTGTTGTCCATAACATGATTATTAAGAATTGGTAAATATCCTTACAAAATAAAAATCAGCACATGATATGACCTACCTGCCTGAGAGTGGACTATCACACACAAGTAAACATAGGAATGCTACAGTTGCTATGGTACCAACTATTCTACTAGGATCACTGTTAAATAATGGCACAACCTTTGTTAATCTGAAAAGAAAAAAGTATTTTTATCAGGTCACTAAATATCTTGCAGCTGCTAATGTAAACTAGATGCACAAAAGCAACATGTCGAGCCTGTTGTCACATCTGATCTTGAGGTACAATGTATGACCTTTAGCTTTGACCTAGTCAAATGGATCTTGCGCGCGACGTGTTGAACATTTGTGCCAGGTTATTTGAAAATTCTACCAGCTAGTGATAGAGTTATGGTGCAGACAAGCTGTCTAAGACCATGTTTTTTTGTATTTGACCTTAAAGTATGACCTTGACCTAGTCACACTGTTCTAGCAAGTAACACACTGTCTCATTATTGTGAACATTTGTGCTAAGTTATTTGAAATTCTTCCAGCTAATGACAGAGTTATGAACCAGACAAGCATAATCCGGAAAGACTGACGCATGCAAGGACACATGTACTAACACCAAACATGACAAGGTTCACATAATGCAATGGTGATGATATGATGTATATTATAATGTATATACACAGCACTTTTATATGGCAAACTTAGATCTGAATACAGATCAAAAATATGTTTATATACGATTATAAAATATTACAAATTATATAAAAATCTAGCAACCATACTGGCCAGATTCGAAGACATAGACTAATTATTTCTTTTTTAACTATTTCGAGATTATTATGTATCAATAAAGAAAAATATTTCACATACTGTATAGATTTTCCTAGAACTACAAGAGACGGAGAGTTGAGGATTAGTAACCACATCCAGATCATAAATATTGTCTGATAGAAATGATACTGTGACCGTGTCCCTGGATCCTTGGACTGCCGAGATTGATAACATAGCTTCAAAAGCTGAAATTAATTTTGTACATTTACATTATGTCATAAATACTTATCTACCAAAAAATAGTTTGTAACTTCTTTTATCAAAATGAATGATTGAAACATATCTTTTCATTGGATAATTGTGAAGTTTATAAAATCTCTATATAAAAAAGCTTTTAACGTGTTTAATATATGAAGGAACATTAATTTTTACTGAAATAAAGGAACTGTTCCAAATTATAAATTTACTAAGATTTCTAACATGTCATATGACTGTGTATGAACAGCACCTGCAATATAAGACTCACACTAAAATTTATAACAGTTGACATTTCATTTCTTTGAATAATTAAGATTTTAGCTGCATCAACATCATTAAGATTTATAATTGCTTTCCCGCTTACTGGAGAAGGACACCACTCGACCATGGGTTAATTGCCTACATTACACAAAGATTTGATTATTTCTTAAATTTGCTGTCATGAAAGAGATAAAAGTACTAAATGATAACTGAACTTACTATAACTATAACTGTGTATCATTATGTAAAACCTGATAAGGAGTTGCACAAAGTTACTATTTACAAGTTATAGATAATAAATCAACTGACCAGTATAAAGCCTAGGATATGACAGGTAAAAATGCCAATAGCCCCACACACTGTAGCCGACAGCCATACTGATACTAGACATATAACTACAGCCAGAATGTTTCCTAGTTTAACCACAGATGATGGTAACCTGTAATAGTAAAATACATCTTTATAATACCTTGTTATGGTTATATGCTGGAAAAAAAAATTAACATAAGGTATACATTTTGTAACATTGATTCTAATTGTTGTTTATATAATTTATATCCCATCTGCATATAATTCCCTTTTTTTTTAACTTTTCCTCAAAAGCATTTTAAAATTGTTCATAAAACCTTTGACAGGTTATATGACCTTGTTTAAATGACCATTTTTGCTTTATAACTCATGTTATAAAAGCTTAGTACATTTCATACTGGGTTATATAACATGCCATTTTTTTATAATAATTGATTAAACAATGTATAACCATATCTGTTTATAAACAAATCCATGAGATATTATAAAATTACAAGAATTGATTTCTTTACATGGCTTATAATTCATCAAAACTTTAATCATGTATAACTCTATAATACATATTTTTTATATAGATGTTCTTCTATGTTTTTCAAAACATTTCTAATCTGTGAATGATATAAAGGTATTGAATTTAAACAAAGGTATTGAATTTAAACATATCCTGTTAGACTTGAATTGTCTGTGAACCTTAGCAGATTGTGTACCATATAATGTAATAAAAGGTACACAATCCATGCAAAAACCTGTAGTTTATTTAAACGTTGTTACTTCCCTTATAGATATCTCTCAATGAATTATAAATTATTATACTGTTTGATGATGTCCAGACCTTGAAAAAGTTGAATATTGAATAATGTGTAGTATATAATTATGAGCCACGTCATGACAAAACCAACATAATGGGTTTGCGACCAGCATGGATCCAGACCAGCCTGCGCATCCGCCCAGTCTGATCAGGATCCATGCTGTTCGCTATCAGTTTCTCTACGTGTTATAGGGTTTGTAAGCGAACAGCATGGATCCTGATCAGACAGCGCGGATGCATGACGCGGCTCATATAGACATCTCATAGCATACTATATAAATGATACAAAGATAATGTGTATTTTACCATCCAAATATAAGACCCAACAGTCTGCTGTTGAATTGTAAAACAAGGTAGACAACTACAGCCTGGAATGTTGTTACAGCAAGAGCTATCAAGTACATGAGAAGTTGTGCCCCTTTAAAGGATATCCCCTGTTTGTCGAGGGTTACTATATCAGGTGTTGGTATGGACAAGCTGGACAACTGTTTCTCTACCACTTTTATCCTGAAATGTACAGTTCATTCATGTTACATTTTCATTTTTGTTGTTATTATTGTTCCTGTGACACATTCAACAAATTTACAAACTTAAAATGTTAAAAAACTAAGTTATCTTGTTTCTATCTACAGCGTCCAAGGATAATTGAAATTTTTTAAGCAAAATCTACACCAGGTCTAACTTTTTTTCAGGTACATAATCTATTCTTCCCTAAACTGACTAAAAGCAGAAATTATTTCACTTGAAAGATAGCACTTAAGGAGAAATATAACATAGATTTCACTATATTTAGCACTCCCAAAATGTTAGATAAATTTGTTTTCTACAACTGATATTGATAAAAACAGTTCACAAAATTAGATAACAGCCTAAACTGTTGTGACCAGGAAACACCAAATGAACAAATTTGATAACAGTTCCCTTGTTCCTAACAGAAAACCCTTCAAAATGGACAAGGACCAATTACTTTGCAATTTACTTCAGAATTCCATCAACAGATCAATTACATACCCTTGATTTGGCTCTTAACAAGTGTAATGTTTGTTTACTTTTTAGAAATTAGATACCAATTAACAAATCTTTGTGGAAAAAAAAAGAGCATAAGAAATCCTATTTCCATAAGATATGTGCGACAATATTAAAGTGGTTTACATGGCAGAGATATATTTGTATCCTCCACAGATAAAACCACTGATAATCTGTCAGATCGTATCTTTTAAAGACATATCAAGTAATATTTAGCTGCATGTTTGGACAGTAAATCTTTCGTTCAAGAGTTTGTATACAGTAGTAAAGACTTCAGCGATCTTAATACACATTTATCAGAGAGTTTAGGAGGGCTATACAAGTTGCTAAGAGCCCTCGAAGCCCGTAAACAACTCAAACATGGATTATCACATGATTTAAGACCAGTCAGGTGTCAAGTATTAGCGCACAATGCAGGTTTTCTGATCTTTTTTATCACAACTGCTTCAATTTCTATATCTAATAAACACAACACAATAATAAAAACTAAATCACTGAAGCAAATAAATAAAGGGAATGTTTTCAAATGTTTAACATCTATATGCAGTACAATGAATGTGGGGGATTTTGTAGTTTACCCTCCAGATCATGAGAATAAGCCACTTTGAATTCCCCTGAGCACAGTTTAGCTATCACATCATTCTTGAGAGGCTTACAAGCAGATTTCCAGTACTAGATGCACTCATGTTCGCAAGAAAACTACTACATTGTAGTTACTTTAAGAACATGCCAGAGCCGAAGTACAGTGCGAATGACTGTAGAAACGGTTTGATAATCAATTACAATGAAAGTGACCTACACTGTCTGGCATTCAAACCTGTGTCAGTTCACAGTTCAACATTCTACAAATTGAGCTGGTGCTATACATATGGTGCTATACAATAAATGTTACAACTTGTACATAACTTATATGGTTTCCACACTAAGCCTGGTATGGCAAGCATAAGGCCAATAAACTTTCGATATTTTGGTGAGACTTAAGACACGAGATGCAAGTTGATGACTATATTAAGTAAACTTAGCTATTGAGTGCTAGTTTTGATATTAACAAACCTATGCCATTAGTTGGACAAGCCTGCAAATCTGTAAGGTCAGACAAGACTCTATCATACTGTTAGAAGTAAAATTTAAGACTTTTATGACCCTGGATTGATAGGTAAGGAAGTGCATATTGTTTTTTGCTCTGTTCGTCTGTCACTAAACTTCATAAATGACATAACATGGAAATTCTTTTATCTACAGTCTGCAAAATTCAACGATGCATGCACCTTGGTGAACTCTACCTGCCAGGCCCACTTAGATGAACAGATGAAAGACATAAGGGTTTCAGTCAATTAAATGTTTGCAGGTTGACTGATTGGTCATTAAAATGTCAGAGCAGTTTCACTAAATTATTAAATACACTAAGAAAAAAAGAAGCTATTTTATAATCTTTCTAAAGCTATTTTATAATCTGTCTAAATGTCTTAAAAAGAATCTGATGCATTTAAACAAGAAAACTGTTGTTGATCAACTTTTGATTATCCCTCAGCATATTTTTTGATATCAAACAAACTATAATCTTAATAAATCTAGTGATCAAATACATTTTATTAAAAAAAAAACTCAAACTAAACTAAATGTTGAGCAACAAATCTCAGCAAAAACTATTTCATTTAAACCAGTGCCATGCTTTTGTTTACCATGTTTAGTAAACTATTAAATCTACTGTTTACATTGACCAGGGGAAAGCTTTATTAAACATAGATTATCTAAATCATAAATATATATATTTATCATTTTTATTACTAAATTCCTCAGTGTTGTATTTACCCAGGATTAACAAACTTTACAATCAGGCAGCATTCAGTAAACAACTGTAAATCGAGTAACATGGAAATAGGACACAACTTTAGTATGTCAAGTCTTTTTGTTCTACTTTCTACAGTAGGTTTGAAATGTAAAAATGTGGTTTAAGGTTTGACACTGACTTTCTACTTCAAAAGTATACTCAACATGTATAGTTTTTATTGTTAAAATGAAGAGAAGAAATAAACACCATCAATAGTTGGTGAGCACCTTTTAACTTATACATGTCTACAAAATTTGCATAGAATAATTAGATGCTAACTATGCCATTCTGACTCATTAACTATGAGGAATCTATAAAGACAAATATTTTTTTTTAACTTTCAACCCAAGTGAAATCACTGACTGGAACTTTCGATATGCAAAGTAACTACATAATATCATACATGTATACACATAGACCAAATATTTTAGAAAAGGGACAAATGAATAATCACTGTATAACCAGAAGTCAATAAATCTAGCATCAGAGCTACCAAAGTATAATCGCAAAGTAACAACATAATTATACATGTATTATACACATGGAGAAATGTTTTTTAGAAAAAGGACATATGAATAAAGGCTGTACAAAGAGAAGTATATAAATCTAACATTAGTGAGTGACCTTGACTTATTGACCTTACCCTACAAACAGGATGGTGTTTTTGCTAGATACCTCAAGTCAGTTGTGCTTGTATGACCTGAAATACTACATAACTTCATGCAGCTTCATAGGTCAATTTTACATTTATTACCTACAATTTTTTTGTCACAAGTTTTTTTCTACATACAGAACACACATAATAATACAACTTACTGTAATATTGCCTGTGTGATCAAAGCAAATGGTACAACGAGGTAAGGTTTTGTCTGCCATAGTGAGTCTAGTACACTGGGACATACTCCATCTGAAAATATCAAAGTCAGGTTACGATTATGATATATTGTAGTAGAATGTACAATTATATTTGATCCTTTTTTGCTGATTTTAACACATTTTCGGTAATATTTTAGTGGCCGGTCCATCCATCAGGCTTTCCAGGATAACTAACCAGTACAAACTACCAATTTCACTACAAGTGACTGACTACTAATCCAACATGATTTGTAAATCAGCAGTGAGAGAGAAATGACCATTAGAATACAATATTTTTTTAAACATAACTATATTAACATATCAGTGAAAGATCTATTAAAGATATTGTTAAAAAGTTGATGTTTAAATTAAAATATTCATCACTTGTTTATGACTCTTTATACTATAATACTGTCTTTATTAATATCATCAATACTTATCATCATATTACAAGTCTTAGCCAAAACTTTACCCTTAGAATTGGATCTGAAAGTGAACACCAGTTTAAAGCCAGGCCAACCTGCATATCTGTTTAGTCTGACCAGGCTCTATACAGTTGACTGAATACAGTTGACGGAACACCAGCACAGTTTAAGACATATGGCACAGAAAGAGGAAAGATGACTGAATAAGGACAGCTGCCACTATCCTGACTAAGATACCCTTGACAAGCCGCCTTGTCAATAGGTTAATATGAAGTTTCATAATAATTTTTACTTACAGATATGCTTTACACAAATGAAAAATTACGAGTGGCGATAACTCCAAAATTATGCAAAAGACAGTTATAGTTCTTGGACAGTGCACTTCTCCTCGATTAGATTTGCTAATCTATGAAGTCTAAATTTGAAACATTCAATACTTTCTGAGCTTTTTAAGATTTAATCAAGATATCCTAAAAATTGATAAGTGACGGTTCATGAGATGGAAGCTAAGGTAATGGATTACTCGCTTATGGATGGATGTGCTGACAATAAGCAAAGATTACAAACTGATTTACCAATAACACATTTTGACTCTTCAGCTATTACCTTTACTTAATGTTTTCATCTGGTACACCAGTGCCATCAACAGTCCAGCCACACTGAATGCTGGTAGAAGAATACCATAGAAACGCACAAACTGAAATTATAAAACATAACTAAGTTTTGAAGGAAGTTTGGAGAAAATGACAAGATTTCAGGATGGATTATTTAACATGCAATGCTTGAACCCTTAGCTTGCTGGTGGCAACTGATACTACACATGCAACCAGTGCAGTCCAAACTCAGCCAGCTGATCACGGTTGTCACTGTTCGATATTGATTCAGTACTTATAATATTTTAAAATTTTACTTTAAAAATGACTTTTAGCCAGATTGAAAGATGGGCAAATTAATTTAGATACTCATCTGGATATGGGATTATATCAAGACAGAAAATATGAACATTCTATTGTCTTATTCTTTAAGGGTGTAATTTTATGATTTCTATACAATATGTCTATACCCAGATATCTGTGGACTAAAATACTTTATGATACATGTATGATGAAAATCTATCAGTGGCATACTAGTACAAATGGACACAACTATAGAAACTTTAAATGTAATGCTCCTGCTAAATGCTTATATTGTGGGGTGAAATAACAAATATCAACTTTGAAAATAAACTTCTGCAAGCACTTTAAAATAATTTCACATTTGCACAAACAATTTATAATTATAATTTTATTTTCTTTACAAATAAAAAAATGTTTATATTTCCCATGAAATTTCATTTCTTTACAAAAGAAGCCAGAGTAAAAATATTTGCCTAAGGTGATGTTGTATTCTGCACTTAACTACCTGAAAATTCAAATATTTTTATTATAATATGAAAAAGGCTTTTAACTATATTGGTATTTTAATGCCCTTTTCAAGGTAAATTATTTATTTTATACCAAAATTGCATTTTTAAAATCACTATATGGTTTAAGATTACTCAGTTTTGTATGTAATCAGTCTGTCACTGAATTTTGGCTGTATTTGAACATTTAATGTGTAAATATGAAGGTAAACAAATAATAAATCATATCAAACTGAAGTAAGCTAATACAATTTAATGATTATCTGCCTCACTAATGGTAAAAACAAAATTAAATTCTAAACTTAACTGACATATATCAAAAACGGATATGTTTTGTGGGTGTTCAAATCATTACAAAGGCAGTATAGAGCCAGCTGGTCAAACTTTATGGATGTGCAGACTTTCCTGGAAGTATATTGGTGGAAAACAATTATTTTTCGATTCCAGCAAGTTTGTTTATTTGTTTTGTATGGTTTTACGGAACACCAAGACAGTTTAGGACATATGGTGCAGAAAGAGGAAAGATGATCTCCCAGGGTTAAATGGTGGCTGCTATTTTGATGCTTCAACCTGTAAAGGCAACCCCTCAGCCACAAAAGGAATTCAAACTAAATCCAACTTAATAACTCCCCCCTCCTAACCTGTCATTCTAAATAACCAAGTTTATAACATAGAATATACCATATGTATTATTTGATCTTTACTTCCAAACATTATAACAAATAAATCATATAAACTTCACTTTAAAATTCTTTAATAGATAGAAAAGTATTATGGTCCATGTAATTTTCTATAATAATTATTATAAGAAAGAACCTTTTGTTTACACATTCCTTTATACAAAAATTTCTAATTTCCTATCATTAAGTTATATACTGTGTTCTTTTGTAATCTTGTTTACCTATTTCTTTAAACACCACCAATTTGCTTTCACAAAAACCAGTGTTTTGCAAATACCAATATTAAACAAATTATATAAACGGAAAACCATTCAAATACCCGTGACCTTAAGGTCAAAGTGCATAAAGTGACTTGTAAAGTGTTCAATATATAAATACCAAAATACCACAGTTAAAGTGATTACCTTTAATCATAAATTGAACATATACAATGAAATTTCACAGCTGGCTTTGGAAAATATTGGGTAAATGATTTTTGCCGCAGTTTTGTACACAAACGTACACTAGGATAATCTGATAGGGTTTATATACAGGGTACCCATGAAAGATAAAAAAACTGACAAAATCTTGATTTAACATCCATTGTATACAGGTGATAGAACAATGTATATTTATAATGGAAGACAATATATGGATTAACAGATTAAATACATTGTCCCCTGGATTTTCAAAACTACAAATTAGATTTTTATGTTACGTGTTGCTTAGTGTGGATAAAATGTAAAACTTGTAAACAAGAATTGAATAACCTACTGTTTATGATGCTTAAACAAATCAATTTCTAATAATACAATCAAAATAACTTGATAATTACATTGACAGTTTATTTCCTGGTACATAACAGTAATAGAGGATATAGCAGACTTAGTGTAATTATGAAGTAAATAGTAGCTCGAATGTATAAAAGAAATGGAAGTGCAAGTTGATGGAATTGAAGGAATCGTATATTGATGAAGGTAACAGATGAAGGACACAGTATGTGATGAAGGAAAGAAATTGATTAATGTATATTGATGAAGGAAACAGTAATTGCTGAAGGAAACAGTAACTGACAATCTTATACAGTAATTGATGAGATTAGACTATACATTGACAACAAATCTCCAATGCTACAAAACTAGCTCAGGGAACAAAAAGCTAAAGGGATCCTAATTATATATAGATGCATTTTTCAATTGTGAGCATTGTTGATTCAAATCACAGCTAAATACATAAAAACAAGGTAGGAAATCTTTTATATATTGTTTTCAAATTTAATTATTTTGAAACGATGCTTATTAATAAGTACAAATTCTCCATATCAATTAATCATCAATCAATAATGCAACTTGTTCGTTTTAATTCAAAACTGCATCAGACTCTAAAAAAAGTTTCTAGTTGCATTCACAAACCCATAAACACTTTAATTTAAAAAAAAAAAGACATTGCTGCACTAGATTAAACCAGTTTTCACAAAAGCGGTAGACTTCAGTCATTCAAATAAAGGAGAAAACATGTAACAATGTGATTATTATATCAGAAGTCAATGTTCCCATTAAACTTTGATAACATTAAAGAATTAATTGAACAAATTGTGTTCCAATAAACTTTCCCTGACATTTCTCTTTGATCTTAAGTGGATTAATAAATGTGTCACAGTTTTGTAGCCAAAATCACATTAAGATTAACAAGATTGTCGCCCTATAATGCAGGGTAACCCTGCATTATATGCTCATTTTGCATTAAGAATTGGCCACACCTGTAAGATGGGTGGCCTGGATATTAAAAAAGAAGTACCAATGGACCAAAAGCCAACATTGTATGTTATGCTGTTCAAACAATTTCATAAAGTATGTAAGATAAAGTCATATGTAACAAGTTCTGTTCTCCTACTGTTTTCTATTTCGATCATCTTATTAAAGGGAAATAAATTCAACTAGTGTGTAGAAAAACATGCATTACTTCTTAAGTGGCTCCTTAAACCAATCTTGAGAACAAGATTACACTCATATTTTGGTTTCTCTTTATAATAGGACCAAATGGGAACTGTAATTTACATGGAGACATTTGTATGAAACATATTTTAAAATAAATGCAGTGCAAAACTCTGATATGGAAAATATGAAAATGAAATTCCTTGAAAAATAAAATACAATTTTCAATCAAGTGGATAATTCAAACTAGCAAATGTCTGAATTTGTAGTCAAGCAACTTAATTACAACTGGCCTATGGACCCATTCTAATAGAGTGCCAAAAATTATAATACATTTATACATTAAGCAATCATTTCAATGCAGTGCAGTGGACCAGTGGTTCGGCTAAGCCATTTCACTGCCTTTCTACTCCAACTTAATTAAATTACTTATTGCCTTCACGATGAGAGTCTTTATATTGCAGTGACAAGTTTTGAGGCAACTTAGATACAAATAATTATAAATAGTATGATTACACTAAGCAAAAATCATCATTATGTCCTTTTAAACATTAAGGTTGATATATTAGCCAGCACATACATGCGATCTGATAATGGTCTGCACTGTTTGCTATTCAGTAAGTACTATCTTTGATATTTAATGGCATTGTCCAGATTGAAAGACAAGTCTATTTAAGATCAAGGGTGGTAAGGGTTAAACAGTTGGGTGGTAACAGGTATATGACTGAATATTTACACAAATCGGTGCTGAGTCTGAGCCACCAAACAAACAAAAACTGAAAAAAAACCCAGTAAAATAAAACACAAAAATATAAACACGTCATTTTAGTTTCATTTTTCATTGTTTAGGATTATATAACATATTTAAATGCCAGTAACCACTAATTTGTGACCTCGAGCCTTGTGATTTAAGTAGTAATAAGAACAAAAACTCGCAGGAAAAAAAAAACACAGTCATTATATTATGGTAGTTCACTTTTCAAAACTAGTATATAACCTTTAATTCATATCAATCACCATGCAGGTCAGTTAAGTGTGAATCTTCTGTTATTTCTATACAATTCATAGGTTTCATATTTCATACCGGGAGGTCAAATTATCATTTTGTTCATAATTATATATACTAAAGTATATTCGGATCATAAATTTCATGTTATTAGGTGAGATATTTTCTAGATTTTCGTTATTTATATATATTACATGTATAATTTAACATGTTAAATTTAACAAAAATCAAATACAAAGATTTACATTTCTAATTAGATTGATTAAAATCTAAGAATACACTAAAGCAAAGCACTTTCAGTTTATTTACTTTTCAGGTTTCTTTCCTTTTTTATATATATAACTGAACTGTATGAATTTCTGCTAGAGATTTTGTCTTTTTGAAAATCAAGTGAGCCGAAAATGCTAATAAAAATATTGAAATGAAGTGTTATAGATAGGCATAAGCCATTAAATACAATATGTTATATACAAATATTGAAACCAAGTGTTTAAAGATCAGTGTAAGCCACTTAATCTGTAATGTCCATAGTCTGTTGAAAAAGTTTTGCACAATAATTCCATAAAATATAATCATATAGTATGTCATAGCATTTTTCAAATCTGTACATATGTAAATTTGCTATACGCCCACTTTGCATGCAAAAATTCAAACATTTTATTATTTGGATTACAAACTTAGTATGCTATATACAAAGGTAGCAGTGCAATTTTAAGTCACAATGTCATTTAGATGTCAACCTGATTTAATATTATTCTACATGAGGTCTACAATTTTATCCATTTCTTCCTTATCAATAACAGACACCCACTGTGCCAGAACCGTCTAAGAGTGTCTGCCAATATTCTATGAGAAGAACTTACTAATCCCTATCTGTCTTATATGTAACACAGGCTTTCGCCTGTTTAAGTCTAAATCCTTAACTGATGGTAAAGAAATGTCAATTTTCTGCAGTGGAAAATAACTAGTCCTGTAAAATTTTAAAAACTGTCGTATGTATAGATATTGAACTTCCCTGAAGCTTTTTTTTTAACATTTTCATTGTATTATTTGGTGAGTTTTTAAGATCTGAACCTTTGGGACAACCCTCATAATTGGCCCGACACAGCTTACACCAAAATTTCTAAATAACAGCATTGTCAAAATAGCTTCTTACAAGCAAAAAATGTAACTGTCTGACTTATCATGCCTCTCTCAATAAATATGATACATAATGGTCAACCATAACCTGCCAGATTTCTCAAATTGACATGTCTGTCCAACATCCATTATGAAGTCCATAATTGATTATATAGGGAATGCCATAAATTTGACAATTTAAAAGCTGATCAGACAGACTAAAGTGCACTGGCTACCCTTGCTCTACTATAACAACAAAGGTTTTGAGATTAAGAAATATTCTGTACAATTTACTCCATGAAATCCCTAACATATCTAGTCTCCCTAATGTAAGAGTGTATAACAGAACATCCATCAATAACAATTCTTCCAACAAAAGGTATTGAAAGTGTTGCTAAGCACAAAGAGAATGCTTCATATAATTTTGCATTCCTTTTCCTCTCGAAACTTTTTACATTACGACAGAAGCGCATATATTTTACATTTTATTTAATAATACAAGTCTTGAAGACATGTTTTTTTTCACGAAGCAACAAAACTCGTCTTAGAAAATCATCATTCCCAATATAACTGTCTACAAATAAAGCCGTTTTTTCAAATCTAATTTCTAAACATTTTAAGACATTAGTCCATTAAAAAATTCAGAAATAATAAAAAAAACTAGAAATTATTAGCAAAATGATCCTGATCCGGTCAGTATCAGAAATATGCATAAAATAAAAGATAAGATTTATTTTGGCATGTTGTATGGAGTAACTGAACACATACATATGAGCACAAAAACCATGACATGCACACAAACACCTGGGATAACACAAACAAGGGTATTACCCTTTTAAGTAACACTTATTTCTATTGCCGTCCCTAAAATATATATATATTTTTTTTACTTTCTAAAAAAAAAAAACACATCTTCGATGAATGTAAATCTGACATCAGGAGGAGTTTAACACATGTCTATAATAGCAATATGACCTGTCAATACGATCAGATCTTATATCAGATCTTATTTTAATATTGCATGCCAAAATGCTTCTTGATAAGTCCATTTCCCAGGCATGCCATATCAATGGCATTATTAATGATTTGTGTGGTACAAACGTAACTGTCTATTGATACGATTATGTACACTACGTAATCACGTTGATAGACCTCTCATAGCTAGATGATCGCCGTTTATTTAACTGATCATCACACTAACATTTGTGTACATTCGACTGATACAGTTTGACACAGGGCGATTATTTCATGATATTGAAAAAAAAAACTTTTACTTTTATTTTAAAACTAGCGCTTGAACTTAACCAATCAGAATAAATTGTACTGCGATCTGAAAAATTATTTTTGTCAATAACAAGAAAAGTGAAACATGAATTAATTATTAAGTGAAATTTGATAGTTTAAGTGAATAATAAAAACGCTAATATAATAATTAAATAAAAGTTTAGTTATAAATAAATTTTAAAAATGGATTATTTTAATCACAAACAAGAGATTATTGACTTTATAAGGTAAGAATTTTTTTTTAACAAAAAAAGGTACTTTAATACACATTTTGCTTCTTAATAATATATTTTCATACTCAGCTAGATGATATAAAAGATTATGAAATTAATTTATTTTGATATTTATTTGGGTATTTTGTACATTACATGATGATATGTATTTGTACTTTCCATATAGATCAATCTTAAAACCCAATATTTAATATATATAGGAATGACATTGAAATGTTGTTTTAATATTTTTAGATTTATTTTTTACTTTGAAATACAAACTTACCGACAAAATATGAACAGCAACTATTTATACAGTGTTCATTTATATTAAGATCAAAAATATTACGAAAATATCATAATTCAATATCATAGAGACTAAAAATGTGATGATTACCAGTATTTATCAAATACAAGGATATGTTTTAAAACATGTATTTCTTATAAAACATATCTGCCAATTATACTAGCTCAACTTACATAACTATTCAAAATGCATATTTAAAAACGAAAAATTTTCATACACATAATATATTGAATAAGATGAGCATTGGAAATTATAGAAATTGACTTATTACATTCAATAAAACCAGTATGACATGCCAGTATTCAACGTTTAGATTTATGATATATAAGTATATCATTACGGTGAAATAGACACCCTTTTCATAGCACTTGACAAATCTCTACAAACAATGTCCCTCTTCTCGACAGATATTCCATTTCAATGCGATATTTTACACTTAAGATAAGCAAATATAATGATGAAAACATGCATAAATGTATTTCACATTTATTAGCTTCTGTTTATTTTCCAAAGATCATACAAATACATAAAAAAAATCCTCATTGTACATGTATTATGAAATAACCCCTTACTGTGCTTAATTTCTAAAATCGACTTGTCCATCTTTCAATCTGGTAAAAACCATTCATAATCTTTAGGGTTAATTTTAAATACCAAATGAATAGCCAACTGTAGCAGTACAGACCATCATCAGATGGAACTGGTTGCACAACGGTTAACTGTCCCCGTTTAAAAGACTTGAGATTTCTATTACTTATAAAGACTGGCATTATCCTTAAACTCATTACTACATTTTAGAGACATGCTCAACACTTGCTCTTTTTAAAACAACAGTCCCAAAATTATTTGATTATATAGGCATAACACGGAGTAATACTGGGTAATAATCTCTTTATATAGTCAGAACTTGTAAAATTTCCTATATGAACTTGTCTTACTTCCATTTTCAAACAGTGCATTAATTACCAAGTTTATGGATACACAATATATAGGATAGAGCTTAGAAAGACTGCTTGATAGTGCCAGTTGGTTTAGCTCTACACTTGTATCTAAGGTTTTTCGATCAGATTTAGTTTGATTATTTTTTAAATTGTTCTTTGATAAGACTTATTCTAATACTGATTCTGAACCAGAATCTTTCCTATCTCTAACAAATGTAACTTTATAATTTTGTAATTCTATTTGAATCATCTGTAGGTAACAAATTTTGAAAAATATTTTCCTATTAGCATGACTTTATGTGTTTATATTATTTTATAATATTCACCAAGGGAAACCCATAAGCATCACTCACTTCAGAATACTTTTAATTGTTTTATTTTTGAGTTGCTCAATTTTCGGAGAAATCACTGGTTCTCTGAAAGGTGCAAAGCACCACAACACAATCTTGATCTACAATTTCTTAAGTCTCGTCCAAAGGAGTTGCTCAAATTTCAAGTTTTGATTAGCAGGGGATCAAACTCCCGACCCCTGCATTAGTAATTAAACAGTATTACCATTATGCCACAGTGTTAGTCCTTAATACAGTATATTGTGAATTTAAATTTGATTTATGGCAAGATATTATTTAAGAGTATACATACATGTAATTACAAAATGTACAAATGTGCAATCAGGCAAATTGATAGACTTATTAATACCAGGGCATTTTCACCCCATCACCATGGGAAGAAATAAGGACCCAGTCTAAATCCCAAATAGCCTCTTTTTTCCCAATTTCAAAAAAAAAAATCCCAACAGCTACCAAGAAAATCAAACTATTATAACCTTTAAGAAAAACTGAACTGATTGAATAAATGTTTCTTAAAAGTCTAGTGGCAGGTTATATGATAATTCACATGTCTAAATAAAGTGTCATCCCTTGGAAGCATTAATCACAACAAAATTACATGAAAATTGTAGACTCAAAGTCATGCATAAGGTAGACTTCCAAGTATTTTAAAAATTCTCAAATTTTACAAATTGTTGTGTAATTATTCCAATTATAATTATGTCTGGGCCTTTTCCCAAAATAGCTGGAAAAGGCCCAGCAGGCTTAATTTTTTTTGGATAAAACCAATAAAACTTAGTTAGATTCTCACTTTCCATTTTGAAATTCCTTATTTATCCATGAACTCTATGGCAACATTGCTGGCGTGTTTACAGCAAAATTTGGTCAATTTAATGTGAAATTTTTCATATTCAGTTTTTCTATTATTTGTGCAAATAAAGTGATTTAACTGCTGAATGACATTCCTGCACTTCTATGCAACAGTTATATTAAAACTGAAAGCTGAAATTTGTTCAAAATTAAATTTTTTATATGAACTAGTCTTAATGGATAATACAGCAATCTTCGGGGTATTGTGTAAAGAATGGAAAAGATTTTTCCTTTTATATCCTTTTGATCTAGAAGTCTTAAACATCTATAGAATTTGTAACAAAAAGATGAGATATTATAATGTGTCAAAATTGAAGTGCTATCTTGGAGGTGTACAACGTCATTTTATGTTATAGACCACTTAAAACTCCATTTTATCTATTCTTTCTAAATATCTATGATGTATTTATGATGATGGATTTTTTTCTTCATCAAAAACTTTTATAAAACCTGCAACAAAATGCACTAAAAATATTACTGACTTTGTTTCCTTGACTATTCAGTATTTTAAAAACTTATTATTCAATTATTTGAATACTTTTTTATATTAATAACTAATGCTTTGTTAATTCTTTGTTAAATTAAAAAGGACAACAATATAAAATTTCACTGTCTTTATGAAGACTTTTCAGATTAAAAAAAAATAAAATTGATTCCACTTCAAGTTTTTCCCCTACATTTCTAAAATTTACATTGAAAAAAATTTATCTACAAAAGAAAAGTAGTGAGAAAAATAGAAATTATTTAATTGGACCACAAAAAAAATGCTCTTTAAATTCACTACCAGGGACCCCTTAACCTAGGGTATTAAAAGTGCCATCAAAGTAGCCCTCATCCGTACCAAAAATAACCCCCCAAAAATATGGAACAACATTTAGAAGCAAAAAGGCTCAAAATACTCAAGATCTCAAAGACTGACTCTACAGGTTGACTTGTTAGTCCTTTAAGTTTAAAAATCAGAAGTAACTTACAGACAAAAAAATCGAACACGATCGAATGATTTAGCTAGATCATAATCACATACAAGGTTTATATAATACACTGTGAACTTTCATAATCTTAAGATTATCAGATTAACATTGAAATAAACACGATAAGATTAAAGTTTTATTTTAGAAACATACTCCTAGAGGTAAAAAGTTCTCTTACCAAGACTGAACAAAAAGTAACGCAAAAGACACTTCATATTTTCATTATGTGGTAAAGAATTAAAGACAAATAACTTAGGATGTGTGTGTAAATTTATTATTTGTTTTACCCCTGGACGATTATATAACAACAATGGATAATATGTGACAAATTAAACAGGATTTTGTGCCTGTAAACATTGTGTTAATGCTGGTACTCGAGGATTACTAGGTTGGATCATTGACATAAGACAAAAAGACCAGGAACCATTACAATAAAACTACAAACATGTCAACTGACATAGCTCATGATGGTAAACATTTAAACATTCTAAATAAACATGAGAAAATTCAACCAAATTTCAGACCAGCTAAAAATATGTTTTATCAACATTAAAATTTTATCTGTTTGTAATGCTTCTGATTTTCTTTCAGGACATAGATTTAAAAAAAAAACACAAAAAAACATAAAAAATCATAACTGCATGCTGCTTTTATAATTTGAAAGTCACATGCAGATTTTGCAATGCTGTAATAATTTTCTTTAAGTGTACATTTTGTATAAGAATTTCCAAAAAAAACAAACAACCTAAATGCATTTTGCTCCTTATTATAATCTCTAAAGTTATATGTATTTTCTTGTTATGTACCGCATTGATTCTTGTACTGTTCACAATTGCATTCTAATGACTATTAAGTCACATTCAGCCAGAGGTCAATGTTTCACTTGGGACTTTTATCATTGCTTCATAAAAAATGCTAGGATGGAGAGCTAAAAATGCTAAAATCCTACGCAAAGGGCTTTAACTCTGCAACAACATTGTACATTTAAAGCAAAGTATCATGTTTTTACATGATAGTTTGGTTGAAGAATATTTTTTGTCTCTTTTGAAAGAAAAAATAATGTTGCAGATTCTATTCCAACTTTTCTTCGATGTAATTTAATCTAACATTTTGTATTATAATAACAATAAATGAAAAATTTGGCAATGGCAGAAACATAAATTTTCTCTTCAATAATCTATTATTGTTTCTTTTTTTACTTTCTTATCTAAAAATGGACTGCATATTATGCTCTTCCATTTTGGGCGATAATATAACAAAAAATATATATAATATTACAAAATATATATCATACTAATCTAAGGTCATTGACAGCTTCAATTAATTTCAATATCGTCTTTCATGAAAATTTTATTTTATCCACATATCAAATCTTTTCATGCATTAAATGTGTCTTGCGCTCTAATCTATTTACAAAATCTGAAATCCAGACATATAACTCTTTGAGAAGAATTAATTACATCAAAAGTAAGAAAAACAGATTAGCATTTTACATTGACTGTTTGCATACAGATTACATGCAAAATCAGACGTTCCCATAAGATAGCCTGTGATTAATACAGTTCATTGATATGCATTTGAATATATTAGTTTTGATATCTTAATTCTGAAAGTATATGAAAAGCAGATCGAGTAAATAGTGCAAATCTATACAAAAAAAGTCATCCAATAAGTTGATCACCTTAACTGATTTAAGCTGGTGTAAATACGTCTGTTAAACTGTATCTTTTCATTAATCTGTTATCATCTCAAAATATGACTTCAAAATGTTAAAGGAACTCCACTGAGGTAAAAAAAAACTACAACTTATAACCTTTTTTTTCCCACAATTTATTTTGGAAGAAAGGAATGAGAAATTATCTGAAAATTTGTAAACAAGTTATTTGTTTAAACCTACATCTAATAATACATTAATATTTAAAATATATTTTCAGTCCCATCATGTCGTCACAGTCGAAAAACCTCTGAGTGGAGTCCCTTTTAATTATCAAAATAAATCATTTCAGGAAAATCTAGAATTTGTCTCAGTCAGGTCATGTTATATTGCCTCTTTGTTTCCATCACCATAGCTTTTCAAGAAAAAAACAACATTTTTTTTTTTAAAACAATATTTACAAGATCTAGAACACATCATTTATAACCCTGTGAATTACATGAGACTGCATAATTACTGTAAAGTTCAAAGTCATAGATTAAACCATGTACCCCCAATATTTTGTAGACAAAGTCTGAGACCAAAAGACAAAATGATCGACATTTAACCTTTCAAATGAACAAAATATTATCTAAATTCAATATACAGTATACAGATATAATTGATTAAGAAACATAATGTATTGGACTCTAATCATGGGTAATAATCTTGGCCCACTAAAATGTAGGAATTTAATACCAACTGACTGCAGTTTTATAAGTCTATCAAATCGGAGTTGTCACAGGGTATACGCATTCATCAAGATCAGTTTGTGGTTTATTAAGAAGGTTACACAACATTTTATCATCAGCTTACATGATAACCCTGATTTTGTTAATGCCAACTTATCGACACAACCACTGCATTTAGTATTGCAATTAAAATCTATTTCGCATAATAAAAATGGAAAGAAAAAAATCTCCAAATCAGATCTGAATAATATAATTTGTAAAGATCTGATAAGATTATTTAAGATTTCAGGAAGGACTGAAACACTCTTAGATAATCTTGACTTCAAAAATAGAACTCTTTAAATAGTTTCATAAACTGCAAGTAATAACCTTACCAAAATAGCGAAATACAAGGTTTTTAAAAATGTATTGTCAGAAAAATATTTTGAGAGTATTAGCATGAACAAATGTCTTAATACCCTCTCAATCTCATTACAGATTTGTCCATTATCAGGGAGTCAGAAGCTCTAGAAATCATGAAGGAATTTCTGAACCAAGATCCAGTGCTCACCTCTGATACCTATCTAGGAGCGAGGATGAACCAAAAGTCCCTGAATTTCCATACTCAACTACATGACTGGAGCGAGGCTCAGCAGCTATCAGCACTTGCCAGTAAACATGCAAACCTTCTAAGTTCTGCAAAAGATGGACAGGCGTTCTTACCAGTTAAAAAACTGGCCCATATTGAATACTGGACTAGACAAGTCAATAGATATTATAGACCTAACAGAGGATGTAGACCTAAATCTGGCAGTTTTATGAAAATTGATGTCACAAAATTCAATATGAAAGTTGATAAACCGCAGATCAGCCGTAGTAAATCAGCTATTTACCCCCAACGTCAGCGACCTGAAACTGCTATCAGCAGACACCCATCAGCACCACGGAGACGATTCTTTGGAACAGATGTTCATACAGTAAACAATAATCTAATCGATTCTCAGATGCACTATTCAGCCCAAAGGAAGGATCTTTATTCTGCCACAACAAAACGGTCACAAAAAAGCACAAAGGTCAACAACCTGCAGCCTGATTTTCTAGAAAATGGAGTCAGTGAATTAAATGGGCCATCTAAAGCTGATAATGACTCAGAAACTATTACTATAATAGATAAAACAGACAGTTCCAAAGTAAGTGACCTTGAAACACAAAGTCAAGGTCATATAGATACAGAAGTCCTTCAGCCACAAATTGTCTCAAGGTCATGGTCAAATAGAATGCTAAATGTGATTTCAATCGACGACTGTAAACTTACATGCAGGTACAGACCTCAAGTTATTAAGGAAAACCATCCAATTCCCGATGATCTTGACCTCATGCAAAAAGCAAGAGCAAACAAAGTGAGGCATGAAAGTAAGACAGTAACAGAAACTAAGGAAAAGTCTAAACCTGAAAATGAAAAAGAAATGAATGGTAATGAAGCAGATGATGAAGCAGATAATAGTGAGGATGTTGTTGACAATATAGATAGACTGTGTATAGAAGAACCTGTAAATATGAACTATAACACTACAGCTGAAACTTGCCATAATGAAACTGAACAGAAAACAGAAGCTGAAGAAAATGATGATTTCCTTCAAAATACTGATGAAGTTTTTTCAGAAACTAAAATAAAAGATAAAAGCACATCTTCTGAAGGAACTGAAATATCTGAAAGGAGTGGGCAAAGATTAAAATATGATAATAAATCGAATGGGAATGACATGGTGCTTGATGACAGAATTCCAAGCTCTCAGGGAGCAAGTAAAACTAGTTACGGTCGAATCACAACCCTTTATCCCCAGTCAGAAAGTCAAAACACCAAAGTTAAAGATGGACAAAGGAGAAAGAAGGTATCTAGAACATCTAGAATTAATTATGCCATAAATGACATGGTAAAAGAAAGAAAAGTGATGAATTCTTTAGAGAGAGACTTTGACACAAGGACTGCAGAATTTGGAAGAACAGTAGTAGAAAAAACCGAGGGCAGTGAAACTTTTAAGAAAATTCATGCCAATCTACGCAAAAAGATTGATGCTTTTGTAGATACTCATAGTGCTGTTAAAACAAAAGAATTCTATGTAAAAAGTAGATCAAATAGTGCTACAAATTCAATAACAAATCCATAAATCATGTGCAGTTAATTGAATGATTAATTAAAACAAATTCATAAGAAGATAAATGTTGTTGCATGTGCACTGCTTATAAAACTAATGTTGTAAATTAATTAATATTCATGTGGTCATCTTTGACTTTGGAGCAGAAAGAAACCATCCAACAATCTTTAAAACAACAAGTAATGTGAAAAATCAATGAATAATGACTTCAACTCTTGAAATCTGTTAGGGCAAGTTGAATCACAGCTTTAATGTATTATCATCAGCTAATGAATTATATTAAATATTTTAAATATACGATTTTAAATGAATTCTGGTTCACATTCAATCTCATTAAAATCATTTTGTTACTGACTCTCTACTTAGAATCTGATAACATTGCTTTGGAGGTCACCTCATTTTGACCTACACTTAGCAAATCAAATCATTGACTTGAGAATGCTAAAGCGTAACTCTGTGAATTCTTATCATTTAATACAACAAACCTATTGTAGAGTACAAGAGCCATAACAAAGAGGTGTTTTAACAAGACTGGTTACCATCTATACTGATCATCAGACAGCCAAATTTGGTTCACATTTTCTTACTACATTGATATGTCAAATTTCCTAATCCATTCTAATCATAACCAGAATTTATTTGACTATATGTAAACCAGTCTGCTATTAATATAACCAGTCCATGAATTTGTTTTGTAATCAGTCTATAAATTTGTTTTGTAATCAGTCTGTTATAGTCAGAAAACAATCAACCGTTACCAGACTGCAATCTTATTCACAGTAACAGTCTCCACCTGGGAGAGAAACAATCTGTGAAAACAGACACTTTGAAATCAATTAGTAAATGTGTCTTCAATAGCTTAATTTTGTAAACATACTAATTTAACATGTTTATAGATTTTCCTCAAAGAGGGTTTGTGTGGTGTTTAGAAAATAAATTGAGAATAAAGCAATGACATGACTCCCTATGTTTGTTTTTATTTAAACTACAAATCAACTTAAATGAAATAATTGCATAATTTCTTTAAAAAATATGTAAATTACGTATATAATATCATTTTACACATATACCACTATTATTATAAGGGATAAGGATAGAACTTTGAAAAGCTTTACAATGCATAGCAAAATTACATATAGATTCCTCTAGACAACAAATTATAGCAAAATACAGGTAGGTTCAACAAACATTATTTTTCATACTAAATCAATCTGTTTTAGAAAATGAAAGCCAGAGTCATGTCAAAATACAATAATAACTTTAAAATTGATATATTCTCAAACCGGAAAAATAAATGAAACGACAAACAAAAACGTGGGTAATGATTACCCTTATTTTTTAAAATCAATCATTCTGTAGTATAGTATCAAATGAAGGTATTGTACTTGGTAATGTACTCACCTTGTACATGTCACGGATGATCGCATTGTATTGATTGATTTTTCTATACAAAGATAATCAATGTTTCAAATCTGTTCATTATCTGTGAATATTTCATGCGTCCGCAACATTTCATTTCAAAAGCGGAATCAATCACCGTTTTTAACGGGTATTTACAACTCAAAGCCCATTAATTATTTTGTTTAATCTTTCATATCAAATGGTTAATCGTAAAACTGATGTATTGTATTCATCCTATTACAGGCAGATAAGGTGTTATACAATCAGCTTCTTTAATAATAGTCTGTATAGTAATTTGTAACTATAGACAACAGTCTGTGCATGTTAAATAAATATAGACAAAAAGATTAAAAAACAACTTTGAAAACACCAGTTGCAAAACAGAAGAAATTTCAAAAGGATCTTGTTTTTCGTGTAAAAATATTCCCTTTTGTAAATAAAAATTTAGTCCAAAATAAAAAAACTTAAAAAGTGAATTACAATTTTTAATCAAAAACCCTAAATGAAAAGAACATTAAAAAGGGGAGAAAAAACCAATTTGTTTTGGACTGGTAAAAGTCCTCCCCCTTAAGGTTTTTTTCCCCACAAACCCCAAAAAGTGCGTGCGAAAGCAGGATCCGAAAAGCTTTCCTTTCCGGCGGGTTGGGTCATGTTCAAAGCGTTCGTTGGTTTTCTACGGGGTTTTTGGGGGTAAAACCCCTGGTTGACGAAGCCCTTTGTTAAAGGGTGTTTTGGAAAAAATCTTTTAAAAAAACCCTTATTGGTTGTATTGTATACTAGGATTAAAATTATGAGATTTTATTAGGATTTAAGTATATCAGAAATACATGTGTACCTAAGATTAAAGAATATCATATGAATTATACTTAGTAATAAAGTAAATGACATATACCTAGGATTAAATTACATAATATATACCTAAGATTCTAGATGAAACAGATGTTAATGAAAACTTGGAAACAATACAACATAGCTTTATAAGCTTACTAAAGTCAAACCTGTCTTTATACACACCTCTAAGACAAGTTTATAAGACTATAATTATATGGAGCAGCTGTAAGCCCAATGTTTAATACCTGTCTGTAAACAATCATATTATAGGTTCACTTGTTTAAGTCATTATCAATTCAACCAGTTTTTCCAATTCCAAGACACTGTTGATATAGTAAAGTTTGACTGTATTTGAATCATTACAGTATATAAAATCTAAACATATGATTAAAATCATTGATACTTATGTTACTATAATCATCCTTTCAAAAAAGTGATACAACCTTATACACTGTGACACCGAGTGTCAATATTGATTCTAAAATATTACAAATGTTACATTGTTGTCCTATAATTATTCTACACACTGTTAACATATAAAATACCAACGAAAGTAAAGATAATCACCTAAAGCTAATATTGACATTACAAAATGAAGTAGAAAATTAGCTATCTCTCAATGAATTCATCAAATAAACTTTCTTTTAGTCACATATCAAAGTGGTTATATCAGTAGTGACAATGTTTCATTTTTTTTTAAAGCCCACCTCTGGCAAATTTCTTAAATGAACTTATTCCTGATATATTGTTTAAAGGCAGCTGGAAGCCAAAATGACTGTCTCAAATGCTAATTGGGCCACCTCAGAACTTAAAACCCAAACACACTTTGTTGTATACATGTGATAAACCGAAAGTGACCACCTCCAGTTCAAAAAGCTGCCTAATATTAATTAAGAGACATCAAAATTAAAATTGTTAGTGCTAAAATTAAGTGCTTGTTCTAGTCAGACTGAAAAGATGTTCTTTAAATTTATCCAGCATTTTAAGTGTTAAAATTCCTAAACCCTGAATTTCAGTATCTTGCATGAATTTAAACTGTGTCTAATTCAATATTAAATTCCTTTTGTATTTTAAGATATTATTCCTTTTTCCTCCCTCTTCCAATTTTGTCATTCCTTCATTTATTTTAATTCATTAACTTTTTTTCTGACAAAACAGTGAGTTGCACCATCATAACTGTAAATTGTGTACATATTTCAAAAAGAAATGTACTAGCATATCTTACAGTATAAATGGCTAATTCAGGCAAAGTTTGTAAGATGATAAACAATTCAGTAATAAAAGTTTTAATTTCCCTTTTCACAAAATGTGTATACATAACTAATTCATATTTTCTAAGATCATTTAATCAAAGTACAGAGAAAATTAGTAAAAGCTGAAGAGAGATTATTTGAAATTGATAAAAAAAATTTACACACTTATTTGATAATATTTTTGTTCCTAAAAATATAGTCCTGGAACAAATATATTTCAAATTTTACTCCTTCATAAGTAACTTTATATATGAAATATTTTTTTTAAATTACATCAAAGACAAACAATAATGATGTTCTACTATCTGCATCAGTCATCAACTTTGAAGCAAATAAATTCAAAGGAATTGAAAAATCAGTGTGAAGGGCATAACACTAATACAAAAACAACATAAGTGCTAAAATAACAAGTCCTTGATACTTTGATACTTATCAATTTCAAACAAAGAAAACCCTCAAAATTTCCTCACACAAATGAATTGTATCTACCATGCTTTTTATTCAAATCAATTACAAATATCTAAATTCACTACATGTATTATTTGATGATTAATCTAGCTATGTACTTTGCTTGATTGTTTTTTTCTGGTTTTATTACATGCAGATTTTAACACAAATTTGGTCATAACATATAGCAGATCTACCTTATTGACTAATTGACAAGATGAAACTATCCAGTAATTACAAATATCTACTAATGAGAACGAAAACTAATTCCACATGATTTCTTAATCTGCAGTGAGAGACAAATGACCATAATTGTCACATAGAAATTTCACCTTGCAAGCCCTGGAGAACTTAATCTGATGCTCTCTGACTATATTAAGTGGTAGAAGACTAGTTATGTACTAAATGAGACAACAAAGCTAATGAAGGAAAACAGAGCTTACAACTGCTAATGAAGTTTGTGTTAGGTATGCCACAAGTGGAAGCCAACTTCTCCACATTGGGCAATGTTGGATGATGAATAATCACTTACTTAAAAACAACTTTACATGGTGAAAAACCTTCTCTTGACATACCAATGGTCCTGATAATGAGTTTACACCAGAGTAAATGGCAGTGTGGCCGAGTGGTTAATGCATCAGACTAGTAATCTAAGGATTGCTGACCGCTTGAGTTCAAACCCTGTCAAGGGCAAGCCATTGTTTCCTTGAGCAAGAAACTTTACATTCATTGCTTAGTACTGCTTGGTTCCAGGAACGGATTCAGGAGTGTTTAAATAAGCTTATAGCTTCCTCCAACACAATCGAACTAAAATAAATTTGTATAAAATAAACTAACAATTATATACACAATCATAACTGAGACAATATAATCTACTCTATATATTACCTGGCCAAGCATTTCTCTAAAGGACATGCTAATTCTCAGCTTGTATGAACAAGTAGGATCGAGATGTATATATAGCTCAACATAGTCATTCTCCACCTGTAGATCATCAAAGTTGAAATCAGGGTCGTAAGGGGAGACAACAAGGTCTGGAGGAATGTGCTGCACCTTCAAACTCATATTCCCACTTTTACCATATCTACATATTAACAAAAAAAAAAAGTTGTTTTGTTACAAAAATAATTTTTTGCTCGAATTTTTTTAAACTTCTTAACTTCCTATGTTGAGAGGCAAACACTTTTGAAAGGCAAACACTCAACAATAAAATGTTTTTTCAACAAAATAAATGTTTTTTCGTCACTATGATTCAGCACCTTCTTTCACACAGTCCATATTGGAAAATTTCACTATTAATGAATAAAATTAAAAAAATTGGGGAGTAATTTTTGGAGAAGTCGTGGCTTTGTGGTAAAAGTTTCTGCCTCTCAACCCAGAGATCATATGAATAAGTTTTGTTTGTGATAATCACACATGATATATTTATTATAAGCTGCTTTAGTTATTGCCCTTTTCTTTTGTTGCGCCTTTTGTAACTGACATGCAAACACTGAAGGCTCGAAATTTTGTCATTAAATTGAGACATATTCAGGAGTTGATGAATTCTATTGTGTCCGAAGTTTTTACACAAGTCCCTTAAACTTACCGAAGTTCTACTGTATATCATTATGACCATTTTTAAAGTAAGAAAGATACATGCAGTACTTACTCTATATATTTGTAAATGTCCTCATTTCCCCCAAAAGGCTATAAAACCTCAGTTTTTTACTCCCAAAATTATTTATCTGTAATGAATTTTAAAAAAAGCCAAAAAAATGTCTTTTTGGGATAAGTCCTTTAGAAATTTTTAATTTTAAATTTTACAAATGAGTTTGCCCCTGAAAAAACGTTTAAAAACCAGCAGGGATCCAGACTAGCCTGCGCATCCTCGCAGTCTTTATTTAGGATCCATCTGTTCACATCAGTTTTCTACTTGTTTTTAGATTTGGTTAGGGGAAACACATGGATTTCCCGGGTTTAGACTGCGTGGGGTGCGCATGCCCGGTTGGGTCCATTTTGGTCGCAAAACCCCCCATGTTTTGGGTTTTTTCATTTTACGCGGGTCAAAAGGGATGCATTTCTTTAAAAAAAAACGTAGCAATTCCCAACCAAACAAAATTTCTTTTGACTTTTAAAACAGACAGCAACAAAGCCCCATCTACCATACAGTATAGTATATATAGCTAAACCCAAAAGTCCTGAAAAATTCCCGAAAAAAATAAAATTCATTTAAAAAGTTTTTTAAAATTTTAAACCCTTTTGTTCTATTTCAAAGATGTTTTTATGTGGAAAAAAACACACAATGCTTTGTATTTCATCATTATTAGTTATGATGATTTGCCTTTAAAGAGAATGGAAACCATCAAATCACTTTTGGGAGTTACAAGTTCAATCCTACCACCTGCCAATAGGTTGATAATTTTAAGACCATGTTTGGTAAAACTGGAGGTAATTATTTTATGATTTTAGAAAAACACAGTGAACAAAGATAATATTTCAATGTTGTTTACAATTTCTTAAATTTCAAACAACTATTAATATATCAATATTATGAAGCAGGTTGAAATAGAAACTATATGATCTACTTCAACAAATATGAGCGCATGTCGCTTACCAACTCTATTACAAGTGGAGAAAACTGACAGCGAACAGCATGGATCCTATCAGACTGGCCGAAATGTGCAGGCTGGTCTGGATCCATGCTGTCGCAAAAAACAAAATACGTTTTTTTTTCTGACCGCTCATTTATTTACCTTTTTTTAGGAGGTTTAGAAAATTTAAAGGTTTTTTAGCCTGACAGTATAGACCCTTTAAAAACATTGTTAAGATTGTATTTGTTTCAGGGGGTAGGAAGGGAGCACGGGGCCCAGATCCAGGGACCATGGGTTCCCCTTTTAGGGTACTCTCCCGGGGATTTAAAAATTTGCACCTCAACAAGGGCCCCCGGGAACGAAAATTACTCAGTGTCTTTGATTTGTAGATAAACCCTTTACCGGTTTTCTTTAACCCATTTTATGAATATTAAAAACATGTTTCACAAATAAAATTTTTTAATGTTTTTTAATTACCCTAATCATTAAAAATTACGCGTAAAATTTAAATTTTGGAAAATTTTTTTGGGGTTTTTTATTTCATAAAAAAATGGGAAACTCCACTGTGACCCTTTACCTTTTTACACATTTAACTTTTAAAAACAATAGGGGTCATCTTCTAGTAATAACCAACCTCAATACCAAATATGAAGACTGTTGACCAAAGCATTCTTTGACCAAAGCATTTTTAAGTAATTGAGCAGACAAGGAAAAACTGCCAGACGACAAGATGGCCGGACGGACATACTGATTCCAGTATAACACCCTTACAACTTTGTTGAGCGGGGTAAGAAAATTTCTTTCAATTAACAACACAGTTTGTAAATATAACAAATTGCAATACTTTTCAAGTCTATGGTTGTAGGTTTAAGGGAAATTAAGGAATTTCCGCTTACAAATTTTAAATTTTTGATCACAGAAGCTTTTGAAAATACTTTAGCTAAGTATGCCTCTATACAAGGTCGTTGAACTGAAATTAAGATTCCTAACAAAGTAGAATATTATCATAACTACTATGACTATCTCACCTTTTTATCTGTGCGTGGAATCATTACCAGAATTTTGGGGTTTACATCTGACTTTTATTTTTAGTTCAAATTTTTATATGTTTCCACCTGAAAAAAAACATACAGTCATCATTAAAATTTTATATTTTGAAAATTAAACAATAAAAGGTTTACCCTTTAATTTTCACAGGGAAAAATTAAATAAGAGTTTTGAAAATATTTCTAAAAATTTCCCTATCCACAGGGTGCCCAAACAAAACATTTCCCCTGTTTTTTTTCCCACAGAGAGAGTGACAGCAGGGGTTTGGGAAAACAATCAAACCCTTTCCCTTTATTGGGGTAAAGAACACTTTTTAAAAAATTTATCTTTCTTGAATTTTTTTATTTTAATTTTCAACCCCAATTTTATTTCACTAAATTTAGGCCATTTTTTTACTTCCTTATTTCATTAAAAAAAAAGCCAACCCTAAATTATGGTAAGGAATATCAAATTTTTTCAAAATCAGTAAACATGGTAAACATATTTACCTACTTGCAAAGTCATGAAAAATATTGTAAAACAAAAGACTGTCATACCTTTTTATATGAATATAGAGGTGGCAGAACATTTCCTGTGGAAGACAAGTCTTTACAAGTGGTGCTGAAAGACAAATGACATGGTTTGTAGTCAATATTATGTCACCTAAGTGCAGTTACGGGTTAACTCTATTGAATTTTATAAAAAGTTAACACTTTTCATTAAATGCTACATGTTATGATACCAAGTTCTATTAAAATATACCGGTAATTGACATATACTTTAGCCGGCCCGTCATATATATGGTCAGACCATCAAAATTTCTATAAAAAAATTTTGATTGTGGTCTACGGTTCAACACATATTTCTCTTGCGTATAGGTAGTGTTCCCACTACTATTTAAAACAGCAGGTATAATCTATCTTTTCTTTAGGTTTCAACCATTCAGTTATTCTTTAAAAGTCTTCAGACATATTTGAAGATATCTGGTAGGACTATAATTATTGTGATAATGAATGGGTAACATGTTTGGAATTTAAGATCTTTCAATGTTTAATGACTAAAATATAATACTTAAAAATTATCTTCATTTTGCAACATTAATATATTCTACAAAATGATTATAACATTGAAAAGGAAATAGTATCAACAGTGAATGTAATCTTAGAAATTATGGCGTATACAGAGTTACATCCCTTTAACAGTAAATCTTATTAAAACATAATATAAATATACCAGTTATTTTCTCCTTCCTTGAGTTCACAACCACATACCCAGCTGTCTTCCATCTGAATATACAGTTAAGACAGGTATTACTAACATCTTAAAGATCTAAGAGATTATCGTATTATTAAATGTAAACATCTCAGAATATCATTTGTTTCACAGACACACTATACTTATCTCATATAATTATGTTTTTTGTTGTTTTTTTTGCCCAAACTCAGAAAATATTAAGTTTATGCAAATTTATCTTAGTTTGATTGAGTTGGAAGCTATAAGCTTATTGAAAGACTCTAAAATCTGTTCCTTAACCCATTACTTCATATACACGCCTTTTAACGCCTTTTTCACCCCCCCCTTTTTGTTGTCTCAAATGATGAAAAAATGCCTTATCTAGGCCCCAAACACTTGTTTTTGTTTGAGAAATGTTGTTAAAAAAAGTGACCTCTTTTTCGGCGCGGCCCCCCAACCAAAATATACATCAGGGGGTTGCCAGAAGGGGGGTGTGCCCCCTTCTGTTTGGGGGGTTTGAAGGGGGGCGGAGTCCCCCTCATCGCCAAGAAAATTTTGGACTTGTGAGAGGCTGTTAATGACCCCAGATTGATCATAAGGTAACGTGTAACCAACACTGAAAAGCATTTGACTCTATCTCAATCCATTGAGAAATTGCAGCACTTTGAAATCAATTTTGATGGAAAAAATTAATGGAAAATAGTGATTTTTGGCAATTTTGAGATGTCCCCTCGTTGCCATGGTAACAGAAAATTTAAGCCTGAGCATGTTGTTGCAAGGGCAATGGTCCAGTCAACATTTGTGCCAAGTTTGATTAGTGTTGAAGCAGTTTTAATAGTATTATAGCAATTTGAACTTGTAACGGGAGACTTTTCAATGAAAACAGCCATTTTTCACAAAATGCTCATGAAGTAATGGGTTAAAGCAACCAGTACTAAGCAATGAGTGTATAGTTTATTGCACACAGAAACAATGGCTTGCCCATGACAGGGATTGAAACCACACAACCAGCAATCCTAATATTACTAGTTTGATATGTTAACCACTTAGCCATGCCACCACTGTAAATGTTTTATACTTATATGCATTGCATGACATTAAATATATTCAAATCTTTACATTATATATCAATGCATTATGAATCCTTTCAAACAAGCATATTTTACAAAATTCAAGTAAATACTTATGAAAATTCTTAATATATTGTACGGCACATTATTGACATGTAATTCAAACAAGTAATTATGTGTAATTGTCCATATAGCATTTTTTATTTACAAAGATGAACATGCACATACCACATTAGATATAATAACAACCCTATCCACATCTTCATAATCCTGTACTGGTATAGCAAGGTATGTCACTGTTTTTACCTGAAAAAATATCACAAGCCCTCTATTAACCACATGTACTTTTCTATACAATATATGCAATATGTAACTCTGAATGCTAACAAAGCTAAAAACATAGATAACGACTAGGTTATGCCCCCAGTACAGATCCAGGCCAGACTTGCATACATCATGCAGTTTAGTCAGGCTCTATACAGTGTTCGCTGTTGAATTTCAGCATTTTGACACTAAATGCCCCGCATAAATAATGGACAGTTCTATATTCAAAACTGAACAAATTCATTACATGGACTGAATGTATTGCATCTGATAATTTACCACATGTACATTACAGATTATTTACAAATTCTACATGGTATGGACTATAATAGCTTGCGATGAAACTTTGAAACTATTTATAAAGTATTATAACATATAGTAAGTTATCTAGCTCAAACTACATCTAATTAATGACCAACAAACTTACTTTTCTCTCAATTTGGTAATTAAGTTACAAAAAACAACAACAACCTACCTCCTTAATTAAGTTCATTTTCAACCTTTACAACATAAAATATCTTTAATGGATTTGTCTATGCTTTAATCTGGACAAAACCATTCATTTATTTTGGGGAAAATTTCAAAATATGTACTGATGGAATAGCGAGCAGTGCAGACCATGCTCAAATGGCACAATTGTGCTGACTGATCTTGGTCAGCACTGGTCAGATGGGTATATTCAGTTGCCACTAGCAGAACAAGGGTTAAAATAAACCTGATTTATTAGACAACATTTCTTATTTTTGCTTAATTTACAAAAAATCAAAATACAGCTCCAATTAACCACTCTTATACTAATGTATTTTTGTGAGAAACTTTATTTATTGCAAAAAAATACATTTAAACTAAGAAATCTTACTACATCTTTTTCCCATTTAAAAGCCTGGTCATGGATAATTGTCCACTCAACGCTTTTGTCCAGTGTAATATCATCTGACCACTGTTTGATATAGCTATTGGTTCCAGGGTGTTTGACAAAATGATGCCGGAACACAGCCATACGATGTTCTGCATCATCAACTATCTGCATTATAAAAAAATGTTGACATATATAAAAAATGTTATAATTTCAATTTCTGTATTCCAAACTACAGTTGTGTATAAAACAAAAACTATATATCAAGTGAGTCCAGTAATTTTTTGCTTGGGTTTTAGGGTGCACAGTATATGTCATATGGCAACTTTCCAGCTTTACTGGTGGAGGAAGACCCAAGGTGCCCTTGCATGCATTATTTTAGACATGAACAGGCACCTAAGTTGACCCAACAAAGTTCTGTAGTATAGCTGGATGGCATCCTCACATGAAAGAATCCAAAATCCCTGTAGGGATTCGAACCCACAGCATTGAGAGGCAAGCGGTTTTAAGTCAATGAACTTTACCACACAGCCCAAGCAGATATAATGACTTGCATAAGCCCTAAGCCAAATCCATAAAGTTAGGCCAGCCAACATAATACACATACTGTTGACCTCTGAATTATAACTATTTGACAATAAAAAACCTTACAATTTACAACTGACGTTTTGAAATTCAAAGCTGGTATGTCCAAATGAGCTTCTATAAAATTGTAGAGATTTACTTTGGCCTACTGAAGGCATATTTTAATTATCCTATTCTCTTTATTTTGCAAAGCACTTTGAATTATTAAATATTTACAAAAAATTTCCGCTTCCAACACACCTTTTTATTTTTCTCATCCATGATATCAAATAAAGACCTCACAAATCCAAACACCACCTGCTTACACCATACTATACATCTATGATCTGTTGACACCCAAGCTTTTGGTGTATGGGTAGTCTGAAAAAAAGTACATTAAAGTTCATTTATGACCTGCATGTTTAACAATAAATTAGAAATTTGATTTCTTCTATAATATTTTAAAGATTAAGTCAAAGTGTAAGCATATTATTTGTCATTTCATAAGAATTCACAGCAATGTTTGTGTTAGACATGCTTAGATATACAATCATATAAATAAAAGCTATTTGTTTTAAGTTTATAGTTATACAAAGTTAAAACAGATCATTAATCAAATCAACTTACAGAAGTGCTGACTGCTCTGCTATCATCAACAATCTGCAACAAAAGCAGTTAATCTATTAAATCAAACAGTTATATATACTTTAATCAACCAATAACATGGCTTTCGTATCTTCTTATATAGAAAAAAACAACAACAACAAAATCATTAACATTTTGCCACTTTGAAAATATTTGAACTATTACAAAAACTTTAACGTAAATTCTAAGTCGTAAAAGGGGCATAATTCTGTCAAAATGCTTGATAGAGTTACCTCCTCCTGTCTATAGGTTGGGGTAATGATGATGAACAAGTGTGCAAAGTTTCAAAAGCCATATGTCAATGGACTTTGAAAATATTTGAACTATTACAAAAACTTTAACGTAAATTCTAAGTTGAAAAAGGGGCATAATTCTGTCAAAATGCTTGATACAGTTACCTCCTCCTGTTTACAGGTTGGGGTAAATGATGGTGAACAAGTGTGCAAATTTTCAAAGCCATATGTCAATGGACTTTGAAAATATTTGAACTATTACAAAAACTTTAACGTAAATTCTAAGTCGAAAAAGGGGCATAATTCTGTCAAAATGCTTGATAGAGTTACCTCCTCCTGACTATAGGTTGGGGTAATGATGGTGAACAAGTGTGCAAAGTTTCAAAGCCATATGTCAATGGACTTTGAAAATATTAAAACTATTACAAAAACTTTAACATAAGTGGTTACGCCGACGCAGACGCCGACGCTGACGCCGACGCCGACGCTTGGGTTACTACAATAGCTCTACTTATTCTTATCGAATAGTCGAGCTAAAAATTTAAACTTGAAAAGTCTCAGTCAAGACTTCTATATTAACTTACCCCATCTAAAGGTGTAAGACCTCTATATTAACTTACCCCATCTAAAGGTATAATACCTCTATATTAACTTACCCCAACTAAAGGTGTAAGACCTCTATATTAACTTACCCCATCTAAAGGTGTAAGACCTTTATATTAACTTACCCTATCTAAGGCTGTAAGGCCTCTATAGGTGTAAGACATCTATATTAATTTACCCCATCTAAAGGTGTAAGACCCCTATATTAACTTACCCCATCTAAAGATGTAAGACCTCTATATTAACTTACCCCATCTAAAGGTGTAAGACCTCTATATTAATTTACCCCATCTAAAGGTGTAAGACCCCTATATTAACTTACCCCATCTTAAGATGTAAGACCTCTATATTAACTTACCCCATCTAAAGGTGTAAGACCCCTATATTAACTTACCCCATCTAAAGATGTAAGACCTCTATATTAACTTACCCCATCTAAAGGTGTAAGACCTTTATATTAACTTACCCTATCTAAGGCTGTAAGGCCTCTATAGGTGTAAGACCCCTATATTAACTTACCCCATCTAAAGATGTAAGACCTTTATATTAACTTACCCTATCTAAGGCTGTAAGGCCTCTATAGGTGTAAGACCTCTATATTAACTTACCCCATCTAAAGATGTAAGACCTTTATATTAACTTACCCTATCTAAGGCTGTAAGGCCTCTATAGGTGCTAAGACCTCTATATTAATTACCCCATCTTAAGATGTAAGACCCCTATATTAATTTACCCCATCTAAAGGTGTAAGACCTCTATATTAACTTACCCCATCTAAAGGTGTAAGACCCCTATATTAACTTACCCCATCTAAAGATGTAAGACCTCTATATTAACTTACCCCATCTAAAGGTGTAAGACCCCTATATTAACTTACCCCATCTAAAGGTGTAAGACCCCTATATTAACTTACCCCATCTAAAGATGTAAGACCTTTATATTAACTTACCCTATCTAAGGCTGTAAGGCCTCTATAGTGTGTAAGACCTCTATATTAACTACCCCATCTAAAGGTGTAAGACCCCTATATTAACTTACCCCATCTAAAGGTGTAAGACCTCTATATTAACTTACCCCATCTAAAGGTGTAAGACCCCTATATTAACTTACCCCATCTAAAGGTGTAAGACCTCTATATTAACTTACCCCATCTAAAGGTGTAAGACCCCTATATTAACTTACCCCATCTAAAGGTGTAAGACCTCTATATTAACTTACCCCATCTAAAGATGTAAGACCTCTATATTAACTTACCCATCTAAAGGTGCTAAGACCCCTATATTAACTTACCCCATCTAAAGGTGTAAGACCTCTATATTAACTTACCCCATCTAAAGGTGTAAGACCCCTATATTAACTTACCCCATCTAAAGGTGTAAGACCTCTATATTAACTTACCCCATCTAAAGGTGTAAGACCCCTATATCTTACCCCATCTAAAGGTGTAAGACCTCTATATTAACTTACCCCATCTAAAGATGTAAGACCTCTATATTAACTTACCCCATCTAAAGGTGTAAGACCCCTATATTAACTTACCCCATCTAAAGGTGTAAGACCTCTATATTAACTTACCCCCATCTAAAGGTGTAAGACCCCTATATTAACTTACCCCATCTAAAGGTGTAAGACCTCTATATTAACTTACCCCATCTAAAGGTGTAAGACCCCTATATTAACTTACCCCATTCTAAAGGTGTAAGACCTCTATATTAACTTACCCCATCTAAAGGTGTAAGACCCCTATATTAACTTACCCCATCTAAAGGTGTAAGACCTCTATATTAACTTACCCCATCTAAAGGTGTAAGACCTCTATATTAACTTACCCCATCTAAAGGTGTAAGACCTCTATATTAACTTACCCCATCTAAAGGTGTAAGACCTCTATATTAACTTACCCCATCTAAAGGTGTAAGACCTCTATATTAACTTACCCCATCTAAAGGTGTAAGACCTCTATATTAATTTACCCCATCTAAAGGTATAAGACCTCTATATTAACTTACCCCATCTAAAGGTGTAAGACCCCCTCTGACTTGTACATCGTATTCACCACCTCCGCTGGACACAATTGTGACATGCTTTAATGTGGAGTTATTATTGGCTTGCCAATAGGTGTTCACTTTCCGATAAAAGTCAATCAGGTCTGAATCCAGCACTACCACTGTCAAAAATATAGAAAATTATCTCACTCATCAAAATTTATATATCAGTTCATAATTATAATAATAAGTTCCTATTCTTTTTTGCAGTCAAAATACTAGTTAGTTATTTTGTTTTACTTAATAATTCTGTTTCAAAATATAATGGATTAGCCTTACAATTATTATATATCAAATCAAAAGATTTCAATATACAAAGATTCTTTGAAAATATTTGCGGCTTAGCATAAAACTGAAGATAAAATAAATGTACAACTGTCATGTAAACATACATTATATCAATACCTTTGATAAAATATCTACTGTATATCCTCATAGAAACTGATGTATCAAAATACCAATCCCTTTGAAATTTGCTAACATCAGCTTTAAGGTTGAACATAAACATATGAAATAAAATGAAATGAACATTCAACATAAAAAATCTTTCCTACCTGGGGCTTGATTTGGTGTGGCCTGCATAAAAATAGTATTAACTGTGCTGACATCAAAATCTGGTAAAGTTAACAAGGCCCGGGCTATCATACCACCCTGTAATATAAAATGTTGTAAGTTATTGCTGTATTGACTTGATTTCCAGTTATTGATTTGTGTGTGTGTTTTTTTATTTTGTCAAAGGCAAGGCAAAAAAGCAATAACACCTGTGAACCTGAATTATTCTTTCACATTAAGGGGATAAACCAGGCACAAAAAGTTTGTATCAAAAACTATGTATTTGTGCTTGCAAGATTTAAATTACTTGATGCAAAATCATTATTACTTATGGGGTATTAATTTTCATGGTTTTCATGGATAGGTCAATCCACAAATTAAAAATCCAATGAAATTTCATTTCAAGATTATTTTTCATCACATTATTTACATTTTACTTTTTGGAAGAGTAAACAGTTCACAAATTTAAGAAGCTACGAAAATGTACTTAGTGACAAAACCATTAAATTTCATGCCCATGAAATTAAGTGAATCCACAGTACTATAACTAGATATACATGTATGTTAAGATAAAAACCAATATGTTGAGCAGTTATTCAATGAAATAATATATAAAATATATACTTTTATTTAATTTTACCCATGAAATATGGTGCTATATCAGTCAAATATATTTCATATTTTTTAAAAATAAATATGAAATATAAATATGAAAGAGGGCGGAGTCAAAACTCATATTTATTTTAAGGGACTTCTTTCGCCGTTTTGTTTGAAAAATCTGATGAATACAAAACAACTTTTTCTTGAATATTGTTTTGAAAACTATCTAGCATGATAGAAAATGGTCTAACTAAGAAAATTAATCCGAACACCAATATCTTTAATTCAGTAATTAACGCTGTACAGACGTTTAAAGAGTTGTTTACATGACGTCACAATGTAGCGCCAAACAGCGCGTGCTTACGCATAAATTACTGCGCGCCGTACAATTGCAGTTGGTAGCAAGCAAGGGCATTCGTTACCATTTTCTTTGATAATGAAATTAAATAAAAAGGTTATTTTTTCGTTTTTCGTGAAATATGGTATATATTTTCACTCAACATGATAAAATGCCACATATTTTCACTCGCCGTACCGGCTCGTGAAAATTTGTGGCATTTTATCATGTTTCGTGAAAATATATTCCATATTTCACGCAAACGAAAAAATATCCTCTTAATATTTACCATAGAATGTCCTACTAATACTATAGTAGTAGGTTTAAACTCTGCATGCTTATATAATGTGAAGATTTTCTTGACTGCAAGACGGACAAACTCTGAAAAAAAGGATGATTTTATTTAAAAAAAATTCTTATGTGATACATAACTAAACAAACTCATACTTTATATACATGTATATATAAAAAGACAAATTGATATCATTTCAGGCACAAATGGGCACCTGAGAAGAAACAACGACGTTCCGTAAACAACCTGAATACCTTCCTCACATGAAAGAAACAAAGTCCCTGTTGGGATTCAAACCAACAGCAGAGAGCGGCAAATTATAAATATATATATATATAATTAAATATACATGTACAAGTATATAATTTTTTGGCAGGGTTTTAAGTCACTGACAGAGCAAGGACCTTACTGTGACTTTCCAGCATTTCTGGTGGAGTGAAAGATGACCTCAAGTACACATTTATGCATTATTTCAGATATAAGCATTCACTCAAGAACCATTGAACTTTCACTCATATATAACTACATATACACAAAATTTCATTTCTGACAGGTTATATGACTGAGTATACTTTGCTAGGCCATGTTCATTGCAAAGCAGCTTGGTCTATATAAACTTATAACTGTTTATACTTAACCATAAAATCTGTCAAAATTTTTTATAAGTAATAATATACAAATGTAACTCTTTCTTATAAGACTATCAAGGCATAAATAGGGTAATTTATGTTTTGCAGTAATTACAAACTGACTGACAACATTATTCATTGCACAGAGGAATTCGTAGTTACCAGTTTGTTGCCATAGGAATGCTCCATAAAGTCCAGTGAACTCCTCATTAAGGTCCACTGTAAAGAAGTTAAAGTGAAATCTCTTGTCTTTATCTATAACTCTTCTAAAAGCTACTGATGCCATAGATCTTGCTGAAAATGTCAACATACAAAAAATATACTAGCCCATCTTCATACCTGCATACATGTTTGAATATATATAAAGCAAATACACTGATAACGGTTTTCAAAGCCTTTATAAATCATCTGTTACATATTTAAAACCACCAATATCATAACTAAATAAAATATCATTGACTTGACTTCAGTATTTCTTTTTGTTGTTTGATAATTGAATTGAATTGAATTAATGTGTTTGAATAGCAAAGAAGAGTTTTGTAGCAAGAGAAGACACTTGCACTTATAAAATATAATTTTTACCTTGTTTATAACTGCCTGCATTTCCAGGTATAAATAAAACAGGTACTCCAGTCAGCTTCATGGTGCTTTAATAGATTAAACAAATAAAGTTAATTCTAAATAATTAATTTCATCTAATGTTAAGTATTAAAGACATTGCACATTTGCCCATTCATTGTCTCATTTGACATTTTATACCAGTGATATGTTAAAAATTTGTAAAATGAAACATACAGTAATTAGATCAGGACTGTTAAGGTGTATACAGTATGTATTCTAGGCTTAATGAAGGTTTATCTGCCTTTTCAGGCCCCAAACTGATATGGTAATCTGGATCAGAGGTAAGAAATTATCTAAACTCAAACTCAGATCTAAGGTATTTGATTGGTCAGAAACTGGCACAGAATATACACCACTGACTAATGAAAATCCTGAGATCCAAGACAGATCACAGACAAAAAAATTTATAACCTTGAGGCCTGGAATAGTAGAATGGCAAAGCTGAAGATTCTTGAGTTATTGTAAAATCATATCTTATAAATATCTCATACAATGAAATTAAACTATGTTCAAATGTAGCAAAAGCAGAATTCTTTTCTTATACCAAAATCAAACTTTTCAAGATAAAAGTATCATTTAACCTTAAAAGCATTATCTATCAAGGCACATTTACAATGTCATGAAAGCAATAATAATAAGGATACATACGCCACAATGTTTGCATAATGCCTGAAAGAAAAAAGAAACAAATACAAAATATCAATAAGACAATAACTAATAACTACATGTATTTACAAGGGCCATGTGTTCCTTAACGGAGCACACCTGAAATCAACTGTAACAGATAAATTCTAAAGTTTGTGGCCTTAACATAAAAATTCAAAAGTAGATCATAAGGTCTGTCAAGTTCTAGTTCTTGACTGAATGTTAAAGATTATTCATTATGCATAACTGTATTATGTAGCACTAAAAATGTTCAGGCCTCATTGACAGTGTCATTTAGATTGAACATTAACTTTCAATCTCTCACACCTCTTTACTATTGATTCCTACTAAGAAAGTAAAATTATTAAAAGTGTCAGGGAGTCATTCAGCTTGTAGCTTGTCAATACATGTAATTCTACCCTTATATTATTAAATCAAAACACTTAACAAAAATTTGATCAACAGCCAACTTGATTCATATCAGATGTGATATCTTAGCAGTTTACACTTTAATTTGGAGTTAATCAATTCATCATTATAATTCACTGATTGAATAATATAATTTTCTTTAAAGATAAAATCTTACCCTTCTCCATAGACGTATAATCCATAGTTTGGAAACTTCTTGTTCACAGCCTTCGGCAAAGGAACACGCTGAAAATTACACATGTATTCGAGATAAAATTTGCCATATATATTAAACATCTTACATTATATCAAATACATGTTTCATATAAACCCCATGTTCATCTTTTTATGAAATTATATCATTTCATTTTGTTTACGACATTTTTATTGGAAATATATTATTCATCATACAAACCCATACGGGTTTTTGACAAACAGAATCTACTTCTTGTTGATATCTCTTGTAGTTTCAGACTTATGTCCTGGACAAAGTTCCCAGTGTAAAAATATAAAAAGGGCAATAACTCTTATATAAGGCAGGCAGAGTTACGGTTTTTATGCATTACACTTCTACTTTATTAGATCTAATTACATATAAAGTTTCTGTTGATACCTCTTGTAGTTCCAGAGTTATGTCGTGTAAAAATGAACAAAAGGCAATAACTCCAAAATTAGGCATGGCAGGTTATGGTTCTTTTGCCTGCACTTCTACTCTATGAGATCTATTTACGTACAAAGATTCTTTTGATACGTCTTGTAGTTCCAGAGTTATGTCCCGGACAAAGATCACAGTGTAAAAATAAGCAAAGGGTAATAATTCAAAATTAGGCAAGGCAGAGTTACATTTCTTTTGCACTGCATATCTACCCAATGAGATCTATCTACCTACAATGTTTCTTGTTGATATTTCTTATAGTTTCAAGTTATATCCTGGACAAAAATCAAAGTGTAAAATTGAACAAAGGGCAATAACTCCAAAATTAGGCAAGGCAGAGTTACAGTTCTTTTGCACTGCAATTCTACTCAATAAGATCTATCTACCTACAAAGTTTCTTGTTGATACATCTTGTAGTTTCAGAGTTTTGTCCCGGACAAGAAAAGGGAACGGAGAGACAGCAGTGACTATATGCTCTCCCTTTGGGAAGCATAAAAATGGAAGACAAAATTTTCCCTGTTCTTCTGACACAATTATGAAAACAAATAAAAAAGACACCCACTGGCCACATAAGTCAGCAGTGTAGTCCAACTGCCATCACTTGTAACTATATGCACTTCATTAACAATGAATTTTCGAAAATGTCCATACTTCTGTCAAAATCTATGCTAGACTAATGAGCCTTGGATAACGACATAGTGTCATCTGTATAATGATCTAAAGTAAATGTATGAATTTGAAGTGAATTAACAAGCAAATATCTTTAGTTGTTTATGAGATTTAATATTGCACAAGATGTGGCATACAATACTTCAACCACAGTGTCACGAAGATGCCCAGGTAAGTAGGAACAAAGGCAGTCGGTGCATGGCTTGGATAGTATACATGACCAAGCCCACTTATTTTGATAAATAATTTTTTTTCACTCATCAATTTTTTTTTTACTCAACTTGCTTTTAAAATATCTTTTTTTCAATAAATCAACAAAGGAAAGTTGTTTTTAAAAATTTCTTCCATATATACTATAAATATAGTAAAGGTAGAAAGGTTCGCCTGCAGACCTACCACCAGGCCTTATGTTACCTCTCAGATCTTTGTTAATTGTCAACCAATTATCACCAAATAAAGTGCAATCTACGCAGAAATGATCTTTTTTCGAAAATGTACAATATTTGAGCAGTTGGTACAACAAAAGATGGAGTTTTAAACCGAAAATGCACTTTTTGTCTAGGTCGGACATCGCTTGACCGAGCCGAAAGTAGATGATTTTGAACATAAATCGATCTTTTTCTTAATAAAAAACTAATGTCAGTGCATGCAAACACTTGAAACAGAAAAGGCAGCTATAATACTATCGCTTACCGGTCCAAAGTTAATCCAAAACGTCTGCAGGTAAGCATTTCAGTAGTTATTTGCACTAACTTTTTAAATTTCCCGACATTGTACATGTATACAAATCCTGATCCGGATATTCAAAGTACGCATGCTCGGTACCCGCTGGTATCCAGCTTCGCTCAATCTTTACTATGCAAAAAGGGGTACGCATCAGGTATATCCGGGTCAGCATTTGTATACATGTAATGTCAGGAAATTTAAAAAGTTAGTGCAAATAACTACTGAAATGCTTACCTGCAAGTCAAGGCCCCTGTGACCTTGACCTTTGACCCAGTGACCCCAAAATCAATAGGGGTCATCTACTAATCATGACTAACCTCCATGCCAAATATGAAGACTGTGGGTCAAAGAATCTCAAGTTATTGGGCTGACAAGCTTTTTTTTTAAGTCAAGGACCCTGTGACCTTGACCTTTGACCCAGTGACCTCAAAATCAATAGGGGTCATCTACTAATCATGACTAACCTCCATGCCAAATATGAAGACTGTGGGCCAAAGGAATCTCAAGTAATTGGGCGGACAAAGAAAAACCGACAGACGGACGGACGGGGAGACGTCCAGACGGACAAGCTGATTCCAGTATACCCCCCTTACAACTTCGTTGTGCGGGGGTATAATAATTACCGAAAATGCTTACCTGCAGACGTTTTGGATTAACTTGGACAGGTAAGCGATAGTATTATAGGTGCCTTTTCTGTTTCAAGTGTTTGCATGCACTGACATTAGTTTTTTATTAAGAAAAAGATCAATTTATGTTCAAAATCATCTACTTTCGGCTCGGTCAAGCAATGTCCGACCTAGACGAAAAGTGCATTTTCGGTTTAAAACTCCATCTTTTGTTGTACCAACTGCTCAAAATTTAATATTGTACATGTTCGAAAAAAGATCATTTCTGCATAGTTTGCACTTTATTTGGTGAAAATTGGTTGACAATTAACAAAGATCTGAGAGGTAACATAAGGCCTGCTGGTAGGTCTGCGAGCGAACCTTTCTACCTTTACTATATTTATAGTAAATATGGAAAAAAAAAAATTAAAAACAGTTTTCCTTTGTTGTTTTATTGAACATAATATATTTTAAAAACATTTTGAGTGAAAGAAATATTTTATTAGTGAAATAAAAATTATTTATAAAAATAACTGGGCATGGTCATGTACATGTATACTATCCAAGCCATGCATCAGCTGCCTGTGAGTAGGAATAGGATTGCCCCTCTAATATTCAAATAGCTGTTCATTGTTACCACCCCAGCAGTTGCCCTACTCGCAATTCAATGCTGTCGTATATTGCATTGAAAGGTCTCACCCTAGTTTTCCAGCCCCCATGTTTTTAACATTTTTTTTTAATATTCTTTTATCCTCTTTAAAACAACTTTTAACTTTCTGATAATTTTTGACGTTTTCCAGGATGTTAAGTTTCATTAAATTAACAAATCGCACATGTCATGTTTCATTGTAACTCAATCTTTGCTGAAAAATACTGAATTCATCAAACATCTATATTTATATTTTAGCAATTTTTTTTTAAACATTTAGCATGGAAGGAGGTTTAATGTTCAAAACATGTGACCAGGTCAAATAATTTTAAAGTAGGCTGTGCAGCCATTAAGAATACAGGAGCAGAGCTCACTTAGTCTCAAGATATGTGCATACAATGTACATGTAGATGTGCAAAATTTATGAACTTTTGAAAATGCAGGCCCAAATTTTAACGTGACTCAAATTATGTTATTTAGTCATTCTAAAAATATTTACCAAATACTGAGGTTGTTCAAACATCCATGTCATTTCACATTTGTTTTTCTCATACTGTAAAATCACATTTAAAATACCGACAACAAGAAGAAACACAACAAACACTGAAAATGCAAGAGCTTTACTTCCTGCCATCTTTCCTGCATACAATGTACATGTAGATGTGCAAAATTTATGAACTGTTGAAAATGCAGGCCCCAATTTTAACCTGACTCAAATTATGTTATTTAGTCATTCTAAAAATATTTACCAAATACTGAGGTTGTTCAAACATCCATGTCATTTCACATTTGTTTTCCTCATACTGTAAAATCACATTTAAAATACCGACAACAAGAAGAAACACAACAATCACTGAAAATGCAAGAGCTTTCCTTCCTGCCATCTTTCCTGCAAACGCTTTCAAAGAGCCGCTGCAGTCGCTTATTTGACGTAGATTTCAATCGGAAAGAACGGATTTTGTCGTTGGAAAATGGAAGAGAAATACGACACAGCGCTTCTTGGCATTCTACAGAATGAAGGAAAAGTGGAAAAGTTTCTTAATGTGATTTTAGGCTTTCTTTATCGGAGGTTGGTATAGAAAACATAATTAAACAAAATTATTTAATACAGCAAAAAGCATAACTTATGTCAGCCTCACAAACTGCGGGTATATTCGGATATAATTAAATTCGGATAATGTAGTATTTGCTTCATTTAGAACTATACGCCTTTACCTGTAGAATGATAACTGTAGGATGATGCTGTGCTCTGGTGGAATGGCTTAGCCCCAATTTTCTGACAAAGTTTCTCCACTACATCACTATACATTATGATTTATTGTACATGGTAGATGATATTGTATAGTTCTCCCTGCAGGTACATGTACCACGCCCTTGCCCTAGTCCAATATATTAGACTTTACAGGCTTGTTATAGTTTTTGTCAGTCAAGCCTGACCCAGAAGCAAAATTATCTCAAAGCGACGTCATATTTATAGGACTAACCACGGGACTATAGTGCTCTCCGTTTATGGTATGACTAAATACTGAATATGAATTCATATTCGCAAATATGAAGAGAAAACCGAATATGAATGTTATTTTCATAAAATTTTGGCATAGGGTCAAATATTTACACTATAATTAACATATACCTTGGTAAATAATTGTTACTTGAAAAAATAAAGTATAAATAGTATTTTATAAGCATTGTTTTTATATACATGTATACAGTATAAAAATAATGTTCATATTTGGTATTCTTGTCATTCTGGTATCTTTCTGGTCACAATAATTTTCAATCAAGGCATTAAATTCATTTAAATTAATTTCATTAAATGACATGATGCAAGAAAATAATTATAGTCTTTGTTTACGAAACTATTTCAGACAAAGTTTATTTACATATCTATTTAATATTTATAATCGGTATCCTCGTTCTTATTCACGAATATGAATTAAATCTTTACAGTATATAGCAAGTCACAGTAACTTAATTACTTAGCAAATTTAAACTGTCATCTAGGTTTCTTTGACAGGCTTTTATTAGTGACCTAAATATTAATAATAGGGGTATTTTTTTTTAAATCATTATAAAAAATTATAAATAAAAGAAAAAAAGTTTTGTATTCTTATACAGTATTCTGGCCATGATGGCTAAATTATATACAAAACATCTAATGTTAAATTTTACCCAGCAAATATTTACCATCATGAATGTAAATTATAGTTTGAAATATCTATTTCTATACTTTTGTGAGCTATTTTTTTATACTGTATAAACAATAATGACGGTTCATGTGTGTCATTCTCGTTCATAACTTCATATTCAGGTATTTTCTGGTCATAGTAATTAGTTTACAACAAAAAGATCAGAAATTCATTTTCTTTCATTAAAATACATTTGATACAAATAAATAATAGTCTCTGTTGACAAAATAAATCCCATAAGAGCTGATTTTATGAAAATAATATTCATATTCGGTACTCCCATTCATATTCACGAATATGAATTCATATCCGGTATTTAGACATACCGCTCTGTTAAGCTCCCATTCAAAACATGGCTGACTGACCAAAGATGTTTCTAATTTAAATCATTGAGTTACTCTATGTATGATATGTGTATTTTAATAATGTACATGTCATTGAGTGACTTAAATTAAATACACTTTCTTCCTGCAGAACTGACTTCTATAGATTAATGAAAAGTAAAGAGGACAGACTAGGCTTCCCCCCTGGCATTGCCTTGAAAATGCTAACAAGTGTAAGTATTTCATTTACATTCTATGTGATGACTTTTTAGCTCGACTTTTCTATGAAAAGGGGAGCTATCCTACTCGCCCCGGCGTCGGCGTCACACCTTGGTTAAGTTTTTCGTACCACCCCACTTTATTTCAGAAGTATTACAAGTATGGCTTTGAAACTTACCATACTTGTTCACCATCATAACCTCCATCTACAGACAAGAGTACATTCTGTCAAGGTTTTTGAACAGAATTTATGGCCCTTTTTTTGACTTAGAAAGTGTATTGGAGCTGGTTATTTTTTTGTACCACCTCAACTTTATTTCAAAACCATTGAGGTATTGCTTTGAAACTGACCATACTTGTTTACCATCACGACCTTATCAACAGACAAGAGGACATAACTCTGTCAACAAGGTTTTTAGACAGAATTATGCCCCCCTTTTTGACTTAGAAAATACATTGAATATGGGTAAAAATCCACTTATTGCCTTAACCCTTTGAGATATTGCTTTGAAACTTTTAATGCTATTTCACATCATTACCCCCATCTGTACGCAAGAGAAGGTAACTCTGTCAAGGATTTGTTTTAAAAATTAAGGCCTTTTATCGACTTAGAATCTTGGTTAAGTTTTTAGTACCAGTCCACTTTTTGACTGAACTGTTTGAGACATTAATTTGAAAGTTGGAATACTTGTTTACAATCATGATTCCCAAACATGTCCAGGAGAAGGTAATTCTGTCAAAGATTTTATTTGAATTATGGCCCTTAACTGTCAATGTTTTGTATTATAGGCAAGCACTAAAAAACTTAAAAAATCTAAAAAAATTCATTCCTATCCACTTGTTCACTTTACCATAAATTATGTCATATAAACATTGCTGTAATATTCAAGGGTATCAAACAACTAGTTCACTTTAAAAATACAGAGATTCTTGTATTGCTTTTTACTGCAAAAACTTTTTTTATTGGCAAGCAATAAAAAAGTCGAGCGCGCTGTCTTACGGACAGCTCTTGTTTTGTTTATACAGCCATATAGAACAATGTTGAGTTGGTAAAAGTTGAATCATGAAATGTTACTTATATATAATATGAAACATTTTGTTATATCTCTACTGTTCTGATAATGGGTAATTCTAAGATTTGTATGATGTATCATGACCATTTATAAATTTATAGAAATTTTTATTCATCATAGAATGGTGTTGCAATGTTTATATAACATTTTTTTAGGCATATTTTGTTACAAGACAAGGTGTCCTTATGTGAATAAGGAATAAGAATTGGTCTGATATATTATATATTTAAATAAATGTGTAACTTCAATACTGAAAAACATTTTGGGTTGCAGATATTTGAACAGTATGATGCAGCAACCAGGCGTGATGATGAGGTACGGGATGCTAAGAAAGTGGAACAGAAAAGAAATATCCCTTCACAGATTAAACCTCTAGGTATTGTAGCCAACGAAAATATCATCAATATATATGTAAATGTACATTTGATTTTTTAATCACACCGAAATGCTGTATTACTGGTGTTCAAAATGACTTATTTAACAATTAGGAGATACAGTATTACAAATTTATTTGGCGTTAAATTCAGCAGTTTAACAAGTAAAGAAGATTTATGAGAGTTGAACCTAAGTTGTATTGTATATTCTGTGAACAAACCATAACTAAGCTTGTGTTGATTGTTTGTACCACTTCCAATTCTCTTTTATTCATAGACTAAGTTTATCTCTTTTCTTGAATATTTCCTTTGTATGTTGTATATGTTTGATTATGGTACCTTTTTCCTTTAGTATTTATGATCTGTAAAGAAAGCTTTCATGTATCCCATTACTATTCAATCTGAATTGTAATAAATAATGTATTAAGTTTTTTGCCTGTTTTTACAGTAGAGCAACAGAGAGCAAACACTGGCAATCAACAAGCGTCTAATACAGAAAGATTGACAACACAACCACCTACTGATCAGTCACAGGGAGATTCTGCCACACAACAGGCTGAAAGTGTTGCTAAACAGAATAACAGCAATGGTGCAAATAGTGATTCTATAAACAATGAACAAAAAAGGGAAGCAAATAAAATAGACAATTTAAAATCAGATCCTAACCAGTCTAAATCAAAATCTGAGGAAGACGATGATCCTGAATTAACAAGGTAAATTTACTTGCTGCTTTTATCAATTTGCATTACATATGTTTACATAACATGTTAGCCTGACTATTTAAAAAGTTAGAAAGGCTATTGTACTCACCCTCGCATTCGAATCGGTGTCCCACTTTGGTTAAGTTTTTTCAGGCAAGATGGTATCTAAAATTCTAAAGGGAATAGGTTGAAACTTCCCGCTTATTTGAGAGCATAATAGAAGGTCACTGTTCATGGTCCATAACTCTAACATGGAGTTTGATAGAATTATAGCCCATATTGAAGTTTGAAAATTCCACATTATCCAGGCTCTTATTTTACTTTCAAGCACCAAAAATAGTTGAGCACGCTGTCTTACTGAAAGCTCTTGTTCTGATGAATATTTAATTTCTAACTTCTTAATGATAAAAAAGACAGTGCCAATATCTATTTTAAGTCCAAAAGTTTGCTGTTGGAAACATCATCAAACAGTTTTCAATTTCTTGTTGTACTTGTATTGAATAACCATGATATTTGAAAGATTTTTATAAATGTGAAGTTACATTTTTATCATATGTATAATGTTATGGTTTTAAATTTATATCTTTAACCAATATGATAACTGGTAACTAATCCATATAAAGCTTTATTGATAAACTGCTTATTTTGCATGGGTATATGATACAGTGCCAGTGTTTTTTTTGGGGGGAGAAAACTTGTAGGTGTTAATATTTTTATTCTATAGACAACAACAGATGTTTCAGAACAATCCAGAAAGTTATAATGGGGCAGTGAGAGACAATTACAGATGGGCACAATCCATAACAGATCTTGATCTCAGAGTTACAGTAAGCTTGAAACATACTGACAGTGTTTGATATAACTTTTATTCTGTTGAAGTTCATGTTATGCCAAGAAAACCACAAGCCATTTTGGCTATTGGTCAGCAATATCTAATAGCCTCATAAGGTCTTTCATAAGCCTAATAATGTTAAAACTTTGAAAGTGGATAATGACCTGTGCATTATTTGTAATTCTGTTCCCTGAATAACTAAATAAACTGATAAATTAATGTTCCATATGAAAATCAGTCATTTCTTTTTTCAGAAACAAAAATTTTTGAATTTGCTAATTTTAAAAACGCAGGGACTAGTTTTTAAATTTTAAAGTTTTGGACCAATTGGCCCGCCGGGGAATTAAATTAAACCCATGATTATAAAATTTTTAAAAGACAAAAACTGACTCTTTTAAATTGCAATGAAAACATAAAAAAAAAATGGACAAAGGTTTTTTTCAAAATAAGGAGTTTTCAAAATTTCCCCCCCCCCCTTTAATTTTATTGAAGATTCACACATTTCTTTGTTTTATTTAAGGTACCATCATATATTCGTAAAGGTCGAGATGTAAAGGTAGATATCAGTAAGAAACATGTGAAAGTGGCCCACAAAGATGAGAATGGTCAGTTCAAAGTTGTAATTGATGGAGATCTTACATGGGAAGTACAAAAGGATGAAAGCATGTGGACACTTAATCCTGGAGAAAATGTTCATGTAAGTATTTCCGAGGTAATTGACTTGATGGAACATCAAATTACTGAACAAACTTGTACTAAAGGTACTTTAAGTAGTTCGACATCAAATTCAGTAGTGTTGGAGTTGAAATTCTGATGATTTACATCTGAATCTTAAAACCATCTAAACAACAAATTTTCTATACCTTGATTTCTTGTAGATTTAATTTTTTTTTTTTAACAGTTTTCAAGGAAAAAATGGTTTTTAGATAATTTTGGGGGGGAGGATGGTGGGGGCGGGTTAAAACGGGCCAAGTTATTCTAAGATAATGCCAAACCTTTACAGACTTGATAAAAAGCCCGGCAATGAGGTGATGTATAATATGACAAAAAACCCCTTTTTTTACCTACAGCAAATGAACAGGTACTACACTTCAGTGTTGTTATATTTTCTGGTCCTTTGGAATCATTTAGTCCAGCACTTTTAAGTGTTGAGAATTGAGTACAGACTCAATAAAACGGAGTCTGCAATTTTCATGTAATTTTGCTGTTTTTAATGCTTCCGAGGGATCACTTTTCTACCAGATATTGTTATGTGATACTATTTATTTTTGACATATTACATGCTATTAAGACAGACCTCGGTTAACTGTATGCTCTATAATCTTTTTCTAATTGCAAATTAAGATTTAAAGTAATCTAATTAATTTTTTTAACCTGCACAAATGAAGTTTATAGGGGTATATTATATAGGAGTCCGCTAAAGTTGTTGGTAGGTCTGTCTGTCGGTTGGTGGAGTTCATGTTTTCCGTACAATACATACAGTTTGGAATGAGTTGTTGTTATCAAACTTTGTATATAGCAACCTTATATGGGTCAAGGTCACTGTTACTAAAAAAGAACAATGGTTTCCAGACAATGACAAAGAGTAAGGAATGAAATATTGTAATCCAATTTGGTATATAGCAAACTTACATGAAGACCTCAGTTGGGATTGCTTTTGGACCTAAAAAAACTTGAAAATGTGGTAATCATCTGTCAAATAGAAGATACATTTATATATTACTAGTGCCTGGCTCCTTATTCATGGATTTTCCATCTAGAAATAATAGGAAAGGAATGTTTTTACCTTTGTTAGTGTCTATTTTATTAAAGTTCCTAATTGCATTTGCACATTTTACTGTATATGCACGTATATTGGCTGAACAGTTATGTAAGTATATGTATTTATCTTTACAGAAGATGCAGGACATGTTAAAGAATGCATGGGATGCTGAAGGTTCTCCATTTAAAGGCCAACCATTTGATCCCTCCAAGTTTTCAATGGACGAGAGTGGAGTAGTAAACATGAAACCAAGCTGAATGTTTCTGTGAATCTAAACTCAAATTTGTTAAAAGTTAATGTTTTAGTCAGTTATGTTTCAATCTTTTATTTACAAGTTTGATTACTTTATCTGGATCAAAGTTGTTGATAAAAAAATTGTCACCAGGCAAGTTGTGAATGCAGAAGTAAGAGAAAATATTGACATATTGATGGAGGAAAGAATTTCAGCACAGAATATGAATATACGAGTATGCTAAGATTGCAAGAGTTTGATGTAATTGTTATTGAATAATTTATATTCGAGGAGAAAAGTTACTATTTTTACTGCTTTAAAAAATAAAGATATGAAAGTCTTACTACATATGTTTATATTAACTGAAATGACAGCCATGTTTAGAACTTCTTATAGATGTAATATGTTACTATTCAGACTTGCTGGTATGTTAGCCATGCATGAATAATGGATCAGCAACTTACCTTTCTCTAGTATTCAGTAGATGCGAAAACCCATGGAACCTTTTTCTTTCTTGGACAAGTATATCAGCTCTCTTTATTTACAAGACAACATTAAGCAACATGAGAATGACTCCTTGTATGTTAGCCTGTATGCTGTAAAGCAGGAGACAAAATAGTTAAATCAGGTCTGGACCCCTAATAAAATAACCGGTGATGTATGATTTTATGTCATACTAGTTTTGCTGACAGAGACAACCAATTGCCAAAAGGTCTGGTACATCTGTATTAATGTTTTGAGAATATGCTAGGTAGAGATTTTAACATAATAGGTACCAAGGCTGAAGTGAAATATTAATCTGTTATAATGGACCGTTTCAGTTTTTAACCTCACCTTTTCTATTCATTGTTAGTTCAACTACTCACAAAGCCAGATGTTCTTTGCATAAATCAGTTACTATTATCCCCAAAAAGCATTTGGATAGCTTATTTGCAGTAAAACTGATAACATTGGTTAGGTCAGTCAATATATTATACCTAGCAGTATTTACAATACATATGTAAATTCTCCATCTTGCCCAGCTGCAGTTGGCTATAGTACCTATATGCCGATGTAGTCATACCAAATGGTATATAATATTTTATTGCAGACATGTTACATGCCTAATTCATCGGTGTCAATTGCTGCTTCTCTAATAGAAATGGAATATACATCATGCTACATGTTCCCTTCTAACAGTGATAGTTCTAAAAATTCTCATATAACAGTGATAGTTCTAAAAATTCTCATATTTCCTAACATTCAGGAAAACGGTAGTTTTATACATTTAATGATTTGCACCTCACCAATTTTGCTGATAACAATGATGAATTAAATGTTGCACAATGCTTTTTAATGAGCTTCAGAATATAAGCTGGGCTTGCAGTCTTTTGTTCAGCAATTCATTAGCTTAATATTCATTTTAAAGGCATGTATGGATGCTTCCCAAACAGCGAAACCTGCACATATTTTTTAGCAAGTGACCCCTTACTAGCACATATTTTTTAGCAAGTGACCCATTACAAGGGAAACCAAAGGCATCTTCTTGGTACAGCTACCAAACATGAAAGACAGCAATCGGTTCATACACAAGTATGAAAATCTATTTTTAGAACAAATGGCCTTAAACCAAGCTACCCTATACTCATGAGTTTTGCAACAACCCTTGGTGCGAAATATGTCATCAGCCTATAAATAAAGGCTCTATAAAGCATTATTTTAGTATTATGAAGACTAGCAAGATAGCATTACAGTTCTTGAACACAGCAATTCCTCTTCGGTTTCTATTCCTGTATACATTTCCTTCTAAATCTTTTCATTTGTCTAGTTACACCCTGAACAAGCTTTTGAATGAGTCAATTGAAACTAGAAATGTGTCCATAGGACACGGGTGCCCCCACCGCGCCACTGTTCTGTCAATCTTATGACTCTAGGTCAAATATTTTTTGAAAACTAAAAATCTTTTACTAAGTAAAGTGCAAGAACTTTACAAATACTGAATAAATCAACAAGCAAACCCCAAGGTGCAGAAGTACACATGCTGACCAACATTCTTGTAAACTTTCAGGCCAACAAGTGAAATACTTTTTGAGCTATGCATAAACAAGTTGAAAATTGCAAATTTATACTACTGTAAGTCAAGGGCAATAACTCTAACAAAACTGAAAAAAATCCACATGCAAAGTCCCAGGTGCATAGCTTCACAGTGATGTGAATCATTATTCCTGTAATTTAGTGATGTTGGTCATTATTCCTGTAAAGTTGGTTGATTCTAACTCAAGCACTCAAGAAACAAATAACAACATAATGAAACAGTTTTTACTAAGTCAAGGGAAATAACTCTACAAATACTGGATAAATCCACAATCGAAACCCCAGGTGCAAAACTAAATATGCTGAGCAACATTCCCGTAAGGTTTAATGACTCTGTCAAATCCTTTTTGAGTTACATTCGACACAAGTTGAAAATTGCAAAAATTTTCTAAGTCAAGGGCAATAACTCTAAAAATATCCAGACGAAAATACCCAGGTGAACAAGTACACATGCTGATCAATATTCCTGTGAAGTTTCAGGACTCTATGTCAAATCCTTTTTGAGTTACGTGCGACACAAGTTGAAAATTGCAAATTTTACTAAGTCAAGGGCAATAACTATAATACCCAGGTTCACAACTACACATGCTGATCAACATTCCTGTAAAGTTTCACGACTCTAGGTCAAATACTTTTTGAGTTATGTGTGACACAAGAGAATGGACGGACGGACAATGGTAAATCTAAATGCCCGGCACAATTATTTAGAATTGTACTCTGATACTGCACTTATAATTATATGTTTTTATTAGTCTTTTTCAGGTATAATTACACAATGTATTTTCAATTTGATTAACTGTGAGCTTTCTTTTTTTTTAATTGGTCTAATAAAATTGGTCACGCGTTTTTTTTTAGGGTTGGTGTAAAATTTGGTCTGTATCTTGAGCATATATCTAAAGTATGATGTTTATCTGTAGTATTTATTTTCACAGCCAATCTTCAGTATCTGTTGTTTTATCTTCACTGACAACTCTCTGACAATGTAGGTAAATACTAAATAGTGGCATCACTAGACTGGCTTGACGTTAAGAAAAACTTAATTTCACTTTTATTTTACTTATACATGTATTCAGTAAATAAAATTAGGCTCCAGTAAATAAAATTAGGTTGTATTATTTACACGGAATCATTACCTTTAAAACATTTGCACATTTTTAGTATTATAAAGCAATAAACCAACACATTTCAATTTTTCTCTTCATAACCACATTTATTTTGAAGTCTGTTAACAATAAATTAACCATAGATTTTTTCCATGCGGTTTTTCCAGGCTTGAAGAGGACCCTTGTCTGGTTTATACTGTACAGTAACACCATCTGGGATTAGTTTATGTTCCAGTCTCATCTCGCCGTACTTCTCTCTTGGCCACTTTGTGAATCCCCATTTTTTGGAAACAAAGATCTGAAAATGCAATTAATGTTGGGAGTTATAATATTACTTTTTCTTTACATATCATTTCATAAGCATTGTAACAAATCTTAATTTCTGAAACATCAAGGCTTCCATTAAGTTTTGAAATTACGACCTCAGAGACTGCAAAATCTTTGACAATGGCAGTTACATTACATAGGTCAAGAAGGAAAAGCATTGAATTTTGGAAGTCACAAGCCAAAACCAAGGCGTAAATTCTTCACGACTCCCAAACTTCCATTTAGGGAAGCCCTGAATATGATGGCTATCTGTAGTATTAATTTTTACAACCAATCTTCAGTATATGTTGATTTGTCTTCACTGACAACTCTCTGACAATGTAGGTAAATAGTGGCATCATTAGACTGGCTCGACATTATGTTAAAATATAACTGAATTTAGACTTTTTCTTTGATTAGCAAAATTTTCAATTATTAATTTCAATTACTTAGTCCCACAAAAAAATTTAAACTTCACTTAAATCTTTTTTGTGCCATATAATTATCTGATAAATTTCAAGATCTCTTCTATATCAATATCAAGCTGAACCTTTATTATAACTGATAGGGGAAAAGACAGTATACTTAAAAATTTGCAGAAAATGGCATCATTACTCTGATTAAATATGACGAGCAGCGTTAAAATAAAGTCATTTACAGATTCATTAAAATTTAAATTCAGTTCCTTTCCTTAAAGATACATGCCGCTAGACGAGTCGAAATATTTCAATAAAATCAAACTTGAGAAAAATGTACTAAGATGTAACAAAAAGTGAAGTTTCAAATTTCAAGTAATATTTTACATAATTATGTGCGATTAATGACTGATTTTTCAGTATTTACAACTATATTTCTACTGCGTTACTAACGCAGTAAAATCTATTTATACATGTTTTGACCACTTTTTGATAATTTACATTGTTTGGTAGTGCCATTGATAATGTGTAAATTGCCTCCTTTTGGTTTCTTCACAATATTACACATTCAAATACATTTTCAAAATTTTCATGAAAATTAGCATGAATCTAGAGGCATGCTGCTTTAAAACTTTAGTTTGTTCTAATCAATTATATTAGACTCCCAATCATCAGGTCAAAAGATGTCTACGTCATAATTTCTCTGACAATGTAGGTAATAAATACATCATATGATTGGGTAATTCTCTTCACAGAAATAACACACATACACACTAATAATTTAAATATCACTTTAGAATTGCAAAAATGGCAATCATTCTACAAGATTTTGTACTCAAAAGACCTTTCTTCCCATATTCAGATGTCAGTTTGTATATATATATATTCACACACACAAAAACAACCAAAGTGGTTTTGGCTTTCAACCTCATGTAACATTCTATAAAGTTAATATAATGCCCTACACCATTTACCACAAAAACCCTAACTTTTGACACAAGTTATTGTTAAGAATTTCAGTTGTTTAATATGTAACTACTGGAGCAATACAATTATATTTCAAATCTAGGCTTAACAAAACCCATTTCCTTAAACAGTTTTGGGGAAAAAAAAAATGCTTAAAAATGTTTAAATCTAAAGTAACAAGTTTCTTTTTCACAGCTTTTTCTCTGACAATGGGGAAAAAGCAAAAAATAAAGACGAGAAAATCAGTTATTATATCTTTTTTTAAATATTCTAAACTAAAGATGAAAAAATGTTTAACAGCACAACTTAAAATTTTAAAAATAAATTTAAAGGGTAAGGATGGCTCTTTTTCTCTCTAAAACCCAAATACACATTCAAAAACGGGAATGTGGAATTTGGACCAAATTTCCCTTTTCTATATTAAAAATAAATAAAAATTTAAAACCCTATTTTGTTAATTTTTGCCCCAAAATATTTTTTAA